CCCCCCATCAAAACCGACCTTAATAAACCATCGTTGTTTGTGCCTTGTGGAGATGTCTACACTAGTTTGGTTTGCAATCCTAACACTATGTTTTTTGTATTTCACAGGCTGCCCTTGTCTGGGGTACAAGGAATTACCTTCCTACATGTTACCAGTTCAACCAGGCAGTCTATTTCAACTCATACCTCCTACTGCTTTGCCACCAGCAGAAGCTCCCAGCCCTATTCTCACAGAGAGTGATGTGGTGCAACCAGCCCTGCCACCGGTTTCCAAAGTTTCTCCTCCTCCCCCACCACCACCTTCTGGCAGTGCATCAGCTCCACCGCCCAAAGCTCCTCCCAGCGGGCAGCCCTCAATCACCACCTCTGGCATTTCTGCGATCAGCATGTGCATTCTTCTTCTTCTCTCGGTCTTGGTGATCTGTTGATCAAATCGTGGTTTGGTCGGGTCTGTGTACAAGTTGTATCTCCATCTGCTACATCTCCATCCACATTTATATGTATAAATATTCAATGAGGTTAGTTTTATTAGATTCCACCTCGGAAAACTTGTGATTTTCCTATCATCATGTGTTCACTCCATATTTCCTCCTTCGTTGTCCATCTTCATTTGGTTCTTTTTATTTTTTGCTGGCGATGTTCATGATGATATTATTATTCTTATTATTACGGAGTATTATTATTTTGTTATGACATAACATTGTATAAGCAGGGTGCTCAATTAATTTATTTGTTCAGTTGAAGATGGCTTCAGGGTTCTAGTTGCTCTCCCGTGCATGTGATTCCATTGCAAGTGTGAAAATCTCTTTCTCCCGCAATAGAGTTTAGTGTAAAAGACTAAAGTATTGTTAAAACACATATAAAATATATCAAAATAAAAGTTCCATATTTTTATTTCAGAAATAAGAGTTGAAATGCATATAAAATGCCAATCATGACCATACATACATTACAAAAAAGTATTGTAAAAGTTTTATCATTATTCATACCTCAAAATTTTTCAAAATGTTTAAATTTAAAAAAGACTTTGACATTGAAATTTCAAATGTATATTGTAGAAATTTCATTAGCAAATGTTATGTCTTATCATTAGTTTAGCTTTTAAGATTGATGTTTTATTTCATTCGATATTTGAAAAATGATGCAGCGAAGAAAAATTTTAAAATCGGAAACAAAATTCGTTTCATTCCGTACATGACAGGGTTAAAATACTAGTTTATTCAATAGTGTTCATGCTCGTTTTTTTCTCTTTTTGAAAAAAAATATGTTTTTCTTATAATTTTTGTATCTTATTCTAGATAGATTTTACTTAGGTGTTTTCTCAATCTAAAAAATATCTTGGATCTTTTTAGAGATTGGTTGCCTGACTGCCTCGACTCCAATCAACATACTCCAAGTATGAGTTAAAAAATGTGCAAAATAATCCTTATGTAACTTGTATATACAAATACGAAGGATACATAATAAACACCTTATTATATCAATACATCCAAATATATACTCCATTCGTCTCTAAATATTTGTTAATCTTTGGCTTTTTCCCGTCAAAATTGGTAAACTTTGACCTTAAATTAAATAAAAATGATATTAGATATTGATACAAAAATAGTTTTGTTAGATTTATTATACTCGTATAAAATATTTTCAAAATATTATTTTATCTAATTAATATATAATATATATTTTATTTATTTATGGGTCAACGATTGAAAACAATTGACAAAAAAAAACAAAACTGGACAAATATTCAAGAAAAGAAGTAGTAATATGTATGATATCAGAACTATCGTTTCATAATGTCACTACTCTAAATTCTATCATCATTTTAAAACAATTGTCTTATACTGGATAATGAAGTTTGTCTAAATTTATTTTTAATATAATTTATTCAAATAATGATATACAATTCCAAAGTAAAATTTTTTACTCTATACTTTGTAAATCGATATAAAATTCTTTAACAAATGATTAAACAAAATAAGTAAACAAAAAACGAATTCTATCATGGACTTCAAAATATTATTCTTTTCATTTAACTCAAATGAAGGCTTTACCCCAACTTTAGTTTAATAAAAGAATTTGCTAGAAACAAAGTATCAGGTAATTAATTCAGAAGGAAGAAAGGGACTAAAAAGAATTTCAAGTTTGGGGTAAAGCCATTCATTTCAGTTGCCTTCATTTCTTTGGGGTAAAGCCTTCATTTCAGTAAAAAAATTTCAAGTTTTTTATTATATTATATATACTTTCTCCATCTAAAAAGGAATAACACTCTTCACTATTTAAACATCACATAAACTTTTCTTTACTTGTGTATTTTGATTAATTATTTGATAAAATGAAATATTCGTGCCACCTTTTATTTTGTAGAATTTTTAACGTAATTTTTAATATGTAAATTGTATTTTTATTTTTATATCAATCTTTACATATAATGAATTGAAAAAACTTGAAATTTTTACTCCCTCCGTCCTAAAATGTTGCTCTTATTTCAGTTTACAAGGTTTGACCAATTTTATTTTTAATTCAATTTATTTGATTGTAGGTGTAAAATTGAAAAATAAAATTTATATATTTAAAAACTACATCAAAAGTTCTACAAAATACTACATCCGTCCCAGAGTATTTGTCCACTTTCATTTTCACACACCATCCAATACACTTCTTTAATCCATTTTATCTTGTAATTTGTATATTAAAAAATTATAGAAATTATATATTAATAATCTATATGTTAAGACCAATCAAACAAGATCATACATGACTATATTTAGGCTTACACATTGAGAGAATTTGATGAGTCAAAGTGCTTAGATGAACAGTTCCAAAAGTCAACACTGGACGAATACTCCGGGACGGAGGGAGTAAGAATTGACTTGAATATGTCATTTTATCAAATAACTAATGAAAATAAATAAAAAGAATTATTTAAATTTGATCGATAACTGGGAAGAACGTTGTAGGTTCTATGTGTTACTCCTCTTTTAACTTTTCTCCCTTAAATTTCAGGGATACACAATTCTAATTTTAACTCCATATTTTTAGTATTTTTAGTGAAATTTTGGTCAGACTGTGTGAGCCGGAGCTTCTCATCAAAAGCCGTCCACGGGCGACCCGGCCCGACTGACTTCATCTTCTCCAATCGTTCCTGGACTCCAACAGGGAGAGAGAGAGGGAAAGAGATGATGATCAACAGGACCAAGCTGAAAACCCTTCTCTCTCTCTTCGCCCTAAACTCGATCACTCTCTACCTCTATTTCTCCTCCCACGACGCCGATCACATCCGCCACAATTCTCCGGCGAGCCCCCGGTCCCATCCATCGGAAACTCGATACAACCAATCGCATTCCCCTCCGTTTCGCACCAAGCCCTGGCCGATACTCCCGTCTTACCTCCCATGGTCTCAGAGCCCGGATGTCGCGCTCAGATCCTGCGAGGCGTACTTCGGAAACGGCTTCACGCGCCGCCTCGATCTTCTCGCGCCCTCCGATGGGGGTTGGTTCAGGTGCTTCCACAGCGAGACGTTGCAGAGCTCGGTGTGCGAGGGAGGGAGGGTTAGGATGAGTCCGGACAAGATTAAAATGTCAAAAGGAGGAGAGAAACTGGAGATGGTGATGGGAAGGGGAGAAGAGGAGGAAATGCCTGTGTTCGAATCCGGAGCGTTTGATATCCGAGTCTCCGATCCATCCAAGTCCGGGAAGAAGGTCGTGCCCCAAGGTTCCATTGGGGAATACACTATGCGGGAGTTGATTGATTCAATTCTGTTCAGTGGTGCCGAAGACTTCCAATGCACAGAGGTTCGAATTCTTGTTTTTTTTTCTTTTCGTTTTTTATTTGATATATTCAGAGATGAAGACTAATTGCAGGCTTCAGAGTTAGTAGAGTTGTTTAAGCATGCTTTGGGATCAATAAATTTGCGAGCCGACTTTCTGCAAATAATGGTTTAGGATGGAAATAGAACTATTTTGTGTGTTAAGAAAGATATGCGAGGAACACACGCTTGATGATCTTGAAGTTAATTTTAATGGAGGTTAATTATGGAATCTTATTTTACATACTGGATATAATTGAATTACTTTAGGGCATCCCTTGGAATGAGGTTGTTTATAGTTTGTTAGGACTTAGGATATAGGATATGGAGTACCATTACAAGCTCTCTTGGCCAAACACAGGTCATTTAGGTTAGATAAATTGCTCTTAATGTTCCCAAACAACAATTTATTTATGTTTGCGCTTGTGTTTTAATCTTTACAAGAACATAGGAACATTCATCTCAAAGCACTTGTTTTTCTAACGTGTGGAATCTCTTTGTCTCAAAGTGTTTTGCGACTCTGAAAAAATTGTATTGTTTCAGTGGATTGAGGAGCCAACACTTCTGGTGACACGCTTTGAGTATGCAAACCTGTTCCACACCTTCACGGATTGGTACAGTGCATATGTGGCATCCAGAGTCACTGGCTTGCCGAGTCGACCTCATGTTGTCTTCGTGGATGGCCACTGTGAGGTATGTCTCCATTAGATGACCCCCTCTACGAATGTGCTGCCATGTAGTTTCAACCCATTTTTTTTTGTAATTGTGGCTTGTTTTGCTTATTCTGCTTACATTCAAAATAAGTAAGCTATTGATTTACTTATTTGGCTGAAATGGATTACCAAATGCATTTCCCTTCCCAAAATTTGGCAATCATTTCTGCGACATAGCCTTGTCAGGAAAATCTTAAGTAGATAGCAACAATAAACCAAGTATAATCCCAACTCCATTGGGTCTGATGGTCAAGATGCACACAGCCTTACCCTGAAAAAAAATAGTTTGTTTTCATTAGATGTTTGACGCGTTGCTGCATTTACTCCAAAATTTTATAGAGAGTAACAAGAAAGGAAGTTTAATGTGCCATTTAGTAAATGAATGAAATTTAAATTTTAAATCATGCTCGAACAGATGCAGTACCAAATATCCTTAAACAATGATTTATTTCAGGCCATTTTCTGTCTTCCCACTTGTTTTCATCATAGTTCAACAACATATAGGTTTACATGATACTTATAAATTTACATTACACTTGAGCAAGTCACTCTAAGAATTGATTTCCAAACCCTATTTAGCCATACTGATATTTTCTCCCATGTATTGTGGTATCGTATTTATGTCCCCTTTGCTATAAAAATTCTCAGACACAATTGGAAGAAACATGGAAAGCACTGTTTTCAAGCATCAGATACGCAAAAAATTTCAGCGGTCCTGTTTGCTTCCGCCATGTCGTTCTCTCACCCTTGGGGTATGAGACAGCCCTCTTTAGGGGCCTCTCACAAAATATAAACTGCCAAGGAGCTTCGGCCCATGAACTGTGGCAAAACCCAAACGACAAGAGAACCGCGAGGTTGCATGAGTTTGGGGAGATGGTAAAAGCAGCCTTTGGGTTCCCTGTGAATAGACTAAACAACCCCTTGAAGCCTGTTTCAGGTCACAATATTCTCTTTGTTAGGCGCGAGGACTATTTTGCCCACCCCCGTCACAGCGGGAAAGTGCAGTCGAGGCTTAGCAACGAAGAAGAAGTGTTCAATTCGGTTAAAAACTGGGTGGCATCATCATCATCATCATCATCATCATCAAGACAATTGAAGTGCAAGGTAAATGTAGTTAATGGGCTGTTTGCACACATGTCTATGAAGGAGCAAGTTCGGGCAATACAAGACGCCTCCATCATCGTGGGGGCCCACGGGGCGGGTCTTACCCACATCATATCCGCGATGCCGAGGACGGTAGTTTTAGAGATTGTTAGCAGTGAATACAGACGTCCCCATTTCGCCCTCATCGCGCAATGGAAGGGTCTCGAGTATCACCCCATTTTCTTGGATGGGTCCCACGCCAATCCCCCCGTCGTGACTGACAAGCTCCGCAGCATTTTGAAAAACAGCTTCGAATGCTGACCTCGCAGGCTCTGCCGCTGCTTCAAGATTGATTGATGGCTAACATATACAGGGCAAGATTGCGAAAACCCAATGGGGAATAGTCTCAGTTTTGGCTATCTTCTATCTGTGTATTTGTAATGTATCAGTCCGTGTAGTCAGTAGTGTAATATGTACTTCATCATTTTAGCTACGAATACATTTTCAAAAGAAATTAAATTATACGAATACGTTATTTACCGTAAAAAAGAAGTGGTCATTTTTTTCTAATGGACGGTTCTCATGATATTGCCCGACAATGTTATGTGATGACCCGTGGGTGCTCCGGTGTACCGTTCGTAAAATTGATGGTTCTTACCCTTCGGAACTCCCGGTAAATCCCCCCACCCTGCCCCGACTCGAACACACCCTCACCCCTTTCAAAGTCAAAATTAAATTGTGGGGTGCAATTGAAGGGGGTGGGGGGTGTGTTCGGGTTGAGGCAAGATAGGGGGTTTACTAGAGGGGTTCGGAGGAGTAGAAACCATCAATTTTATGAACGGGGCATCAGAGCGTCCCCGAGTCATCTCATGACATGGGACTCTAATGTCATTGGAACCCCACCGTTTTTCCTATAGATAATACATATACTCCCTCTGTCTTGAAGTTAGTTCAATATGTAACTTGATTCGGTTACAAACAAGTGAAACAACAATAATCCGTTAAGAATAGTAATAATTCCACCCTTGATGTCTAGATTAATGCAACTATGCTACTCGGGAATATTGGTTTTGGTGTGCATTTGGTGTTAAATGCTTGGGGTCTCTCTAACATTTTTTATTTTAGAAGTAGATATATTTTTGTTAGATCTTAGATATATTATTCCATGTATTGCCTGAGATTAGGGGTTGAAGGTTCAGGTTTTTAGTTGTTTGGTTTATAGAATCGGACCGGAACGGCTTGGAACACTACGTTGTCCTATTTTGTTCCGCTCGCTTTGGGATTGGGACAATTCGAAACTAATTTGATTTTTTAAATAAAATGTGAACATAAGAACTTTGTACACCGTAATATGTGAACCCCTAAAAATAATTCGAATATTTTATATAAATATCTTTAATACATCATCAAATTAAGTTTAACAAAAACATTTTTTAGCAAAAGAATAGGCTAACTACATTTTAGTTCATAAAACATATAAACTTTTATAATCATGTCACTCTTGTTTCGTAAAACTTTTCATGTAGATTTTTACGAAGTAAAATGTAAAGTTTATTTTTTAATTCCGCAACAATTCTATAATAAATTGTATTGAAAATAATTTTAGCCAAATATTATAAATTGAAATAGACAATTAAAATTAGGATGAAAAGAGTAAACAAATAGGTAGTAGATAATTGTTTGAGTCTAGAACAATAATGTATGTGTCTCGATAAATAAAGTGTATGACGGCTATGACCTTCTTCTCGTTATTTCGTTAGTATAAACAAATAAATATATTTATTCATATATTTTGTAACCGGGATAACCAGAAAAAAATGATTTTCTCCTCTTCAAGTTACAATTTAATCCTGTTCAAGACGGTTTTGAAAAAAGTTTGCCGACTCAACTAAAAAAAGACATTATACTGTCGAAACAATTATTCTTCCCCACCTGAGTTAAATATATTTTCAGTCCTTGTAAAATAGATAAGCTTTATTTTTTATTTTTTAAATATTTTTTTTGTTGAAGTCGCCCTTATAATATTTTTTTATTTCGATAGTAATCCTTACACATAATTAAGACTTCTAATTTGTTCAAACAACATGTTTATTTCGTAATCAAGATCTTAGTCATGCATTTCTAATCAACTCGAACACAATTTTCATGTCTTAAAGAGTATCCTTCTGTTCGAAAATGTTTTGATAGGTTGATTTGGCACCGTTATTTAGGAGTATGAAAAAAAGTGCAAAGCTTTGAAGAATATTCCTACTTTTTACACTTTCTTCGTTCTAATTTAAGTTGACATTGATTTGCTATTTATATAGTCAAATTTTATTCACTTTGTATGTCTATTTTTGTTACTTATTTGATAAAATAATATAATCAAATTATCTCTTTTTTCATAGAAGATTTAATCTTATTTTTTTATAACAAGCAAATTTTATTTTAAATTCTTCTCCAATTTTCAAATAAGTTGTATGGAAAATAGTTTCAGCCAAATATGAGCCAGATATCATATCTGAAACAAACGATTTAAAGAGAGGAAGTTGCTCATTTTCTCATTCAAAAAACAATAAAAAGTACACGGGTGGTAAAGCAAAAACGTATTAAAGATATTTACTCTTTGAGTAGACTAAAAAAAGAATTGGAAGAATATTTTGTGAAGAACCAATAAATAAAGTGAGAACAATTCCGAATTGCTACCCAAACAATATAAATAAAAGTAAAAAAAATAGAAAAGATAGGGAAGAAAAATAAAAGTATATGAAAAAATTATTTTTATAGGATAGAAAAAAATAAGTCGTGAATGAAGAAAATCACTTGTGCATCGGCCCAAAGAAAGTACTTATATATAATTAACTTTATATTAAAATTGAAAAACCTGAATTAGTATTCTCTTCGTCTTGACATTATAAAAACTTAAAAAAAAATTAGACCAAAAAATAAAAATATTTAATTTAACAAAGGAAGAATATAGTTTAGAAAATTGAGGATGCCATATTAAAAATTTTGAAACTAGGGCAATAGTAAATACTCCCTCCGTCCCAGAATATTTGTCCATTTTTGACTTTTTTTAGTCAAAATTAGTAAACTTTGACTTCAAGTTAAATAAAAATGACATTGTATATCGATACAAAAATAGTTTTATTAGATTTATTACATAAAATATTTTCAAAATATTAATTTATCTAATTGTAGATCAAAGATTGAAAATGGTTGACAGAAAAAAGTCAAAACTGGACAAATACTACTTATTTATAAACCACGGGTAAACTCTAAATTAAATAGTACTCCATGAATCAAATCGAAGAAGATCAGGGAAGATCACAAATTCTATTATGGCTAAAGTATAGTAAAAGTAATCAATCCATTTTGTCTTGGAGCTAGCGGCGAGGGAGCGCGGAGAGTCAAGGAGCATGAGAGACGCGGCGCCGTCGCGCGGAGGGAATGCGTAGTGCGCATGTTAGCACAGTGATGTTGACTGCTGACTATATCTCGATTAATACTCCGTATCTTACTAGAGAATGAGATAGAGAGAAGAGAGATACCTTCTTCTTCATCTTGTTTAATTTCATGCTTCCTCTCTAAGCTCACCATTAACATGTGGAAATGTGGATTCAATGCACCATGAACATGAGTTAGCTCGCCTCACAAATCACAATGATGAGTTCCAACTTGGGTGCATATCCTTTTTCTAAATCTTCTTATATAAAAAAATCTAATTTGTTTTATTAAAAAATAAGGACTAAATATTTATTTAAGTAATAAGAAAATATTTATATTTAATTTGTTTTATTAAATAGTTCATATTTATAAACCACGGGTAAACTCTAAATTAAATAGGAAATCAAATCGACGGGGACAGAACCGTTCGCAGAAGATAAAGCTGCGTGAGGGAAAGCAAAAGGGCGAAGGAGATCGAAGAAGATCGCAGACGGAAAATGGAATCGGTAAATGATTTTAGAAGGATGACAAAGCTCAGGGAGTGCGTGTTCGGACTTGTGGGAGACGGCTTTGTGATTGTGGCGGCGGATGCGTCCACGGGGTACAATTTCACCGGTGACAATACCACCGAGGATAAGATCACCGTCCTCGATTCTCACAAGCTAGTCGCCGCTGTTGGTTTCCCGGCGGACAGGTCTCACCATTCATCTGATTTGATTTGTATGTTAGGGTTTCTTCGTTTTTTTGAGTTATTCTTGTTTTTTTTTTACATTGATTCGTACTCATGCATTCCCGGCGGACAGGTCTCACCACAGTAAAGAGCACACACTTGGATTTCATCCCCAGTTACAAGTAGGCCACCAATACTGTATTCAAACTATAATAGAACACTATTGAGATCTCCTATTACAATCCATGCCCCTAGCACCCTCCCATCAACTATTAGTCAATGTGCCCTCCTCCTCAAAGATTTTTGAATCTACTAAGTTCCGGTCTTTTGAACTCCACAAAGCACCACACTAGTTTGGCAAACAATCCTTGCCAATATGATTCAACCCCAAAATTTCACAACATCAATCTCAAACTGCTTACAATGAAGATTTGAAGGCTATCTTCTACCTTTCCCCCCAAGGATTTCTCAGCTATCTTTAATCATGTACACAAGGATTTATACGGCTATTCTCGACCGTTTCAATGAGTAAAAGTTGTGTCTAAAAACATGAAAAAATGTTCAACCCCTTTTGGCCGGTGAATAATGAAGATTTTACTCTCTCAAACAATGCAAGATCAACCTATAAATGGGATGGTATATATGTATAATCACAAGATCAGTGTGTGTTTAGAGATATGAAAAACAAAGCTCTTCAAATAGCCAAAATAATAAAGGATGAAAACAAGACCAAGAACACACTTTACAATATGAAATGAGAAATTAGAGCTTGAATTTATGTTTAAAATATCAATTAAAGGTGATTAGGGTTGGTTAAAAGTGATTAAAATTTAAATTTGTACCTTTAACGGTCAGACGGTAGTAAGAAACCTCCACATGATAGCTTCCTATTGCTGCAGGCATTTCAGAATTGAGTAAAGTTCTGTACTATTTGTTTCATTACTGATCGCAATTCCTAGATTTGATCTACAAATTTGGGGGGAAAAGTATTATTTTTGAAGCTCTTATTGTGGGATTTAGAAGCGGTAATGTAAGTCTATGATAGCTTGTAATTGATTACTGTGGCAGGTCACACCTGATTTTTAGAACTTATTTAAGTTCACTGTAATGTATTGCATGTGCAGTGATGATAAGTTAATTTTTATGTGAATTTGGTTAGGTTAAGATGGTGAGCATGCTAGAGTGCTAGACAAAGAGACAGACCGTGCTTCAGCTAAGGAGGTTAAAGAAGAAGCAATTCATTTGGTCAATATGCATACATGCACAACTATAATAAGCATCAAATTTCCAAATTATATTGTTGTTGCGGCGGATTCGAGGTTGAGCACTATAGAACACAGAATATTAAAAGGTGATTTTTAAGAATTCAAAATTAATTTTATTTACTTATAAATCATTTTTCAGTTTACAATATCGGTCAGAAGCTCTGAGGTCTACACACTCTTTTAGTTGGAACAATTGCTGGATATATTCAACATTGCGTAGAGGCTATTCGGCAATTTGAACAAGAGATCGAGCAAGAAAAAGTTGATTCATTAAGACAAACCGCAGACCGATTGAAGGAAATACTTCGTAGCATCAGTTTCATAACTCCAAACAATGAAAGTTCAGCAGCCCAAATCATCCTTTCCGAATTGCATGAGGTTCGGGTAAATATTTTTTAAAATTATTCATTAAATACTTTTTGAACAAAACAGACTTTTATTCATCTGATGAAATAAATACCCACAAGTGCTAAAACAAACATCATAACATCTCTCACACCCTACAAAACAAAACCAAACGAGTAGAATATCTACTGCTTTGATGTACCACTGATCGTGGTAGCAAACTAGTCATCCATAATAAAATTGTCTTCTTATTTTTTCTAGAGACCAAAAATTTTTGCGATTTCTAGTCTTGAATGTGATGACCTCATTGATGATCGTGGTGGCCACTTAGCGGGAGGGGATGTTTATGCAAAACGTATATTGAATAAAAGGTTAGTTATTTATTTAACATTTTATAAAATGTTTTTTTTTCCATTTTTAGCAAATGTTTATGACATTCAAATTTGTTATGCAAGGTACTACCCCACCATGTCATTGGATGATGGGGTGGAGTTGGCCCGAGAAGCGATGCATTAGGCAACCGGGAACGGTATCTATACGAGAGGAGATGCGATCATTTGTTTGGTCAGTCTGTGGGACTCCATAGAGAGGGACATCATGACCTACTACAAGCCAGATTACACGCAAGCGGACTTTCTATATGGCGCGAATGATTGTAAAATAGAAAGCCACTTAGAACCTATGTATGTAGAGTAGAATATTTGAGACAGACATGTTATTACATATGTGGGTATTCTATCTTACATGTGTTTCAGTTGTTTTCCTTTCTTTATTTCGTAGTTTGGTCAATGCAACATCACGAAATTTTCTGTCTCAGTAGAATAATCTTGCAATGACCAAGCAAACTATGCAATAAATAAAGGAAAAATAGCTGAAACGCATGTAAGATGGAATACCCACATATGTAACCCACATATGCAATACAGTGCCTGTCTCTAATATTCTACTCTACATCCATAAGTTCTAGGTCGCTTTCTATTTTACAATCATCCGCGCTATATAGAAACTCTGCTTGCGTGTAATTTGGCTTGTGGTAGGCCATGATGCCCCCCCCCTCCATGGAGTTCCACGCACTGATTAAACAAATGATCCCATCTCCTCCCGTGTAGATACCGTCGTGGTTGCCCTATGCATCGCCTCTTGGGCCAACTCTATTCCATCACCCACCGACATGGTGGGGTGGTACCTAACATAACAAATTTGAATATCATAAATATTTGCTAAAAATGGAAGAATTTTTTTTTATAAAATGTTAAATAACCTTTTGTTCAATATATTTCTCGCATAAACATTCCTACTCCCTCTCGCTAAGTGGCCAGTTGGCCACCACAATCATCAGTGAGGTTATCACATTCAAGATTAGAAATCACAAAAATTTTCGATCTCTTAGAAAAAATAAGAAGATAATTTTATTATAGATGGCTGATTGGCTACCAAGATAAGGGATACATCAAAGCAATAGATATTCTACTCCTTTAGTTTGGTTCTATTTTGCAGGGTGTGAGATATTTTATAGTTTTTGTTTTAGTACTTGTGAATATTTCTTTCATCAGACAAATTAAAGTGTATTTTGTTCAAAAAATGTTTAATGAAAAAAAAGAGAATTTAATTTTAAAAAAATACTTACCCGACCCTCATCAAATCTGGAAAGAATAATTTGAGCTGCTAAACTTTAATTGTTTGGAGTTGTGAAACTGATGCTGCGAAGTATTTCCTTCAACCGGTCAGCAGCTTGTCTCAATGAATCAACTTTTCCTTGTTCGATATCTTGTTCAAATTGCCGAATAGCCTCTACGCAATGTTGAATACACCTTGCAATTGTTCCAACTAAAGGAGTGTGTAGACCTTAAAGCTTCTGACCGATATCTTTAATTGCAAAATGATTTATAACAATTAGATAATGGTATAAGTAAATAAAATTAATTTTGAATTCTTAAAAATCACCTATTAATATTCCTTGTCCTATAGTGGTCAACCTTAAATCCACCACAACAGCTATATAATTGGAAGTTTAATGCTTATTATAATTGTGCCTGTATGCATATTGACCAAATGAATTGTTTCTTCTTTAACCTCCTTAGGTGACGCAGGGTCTGCCCCTTTGTCTAGCATGCTCACCCTCTTAACCTATCCAAATTCACATAAAAATTAACTTATCATCACTGCACATGCAACACATTACAGTGAACTTAAATAAGTTCCAAAAATCAGGTGTGATCTACCACAGTGATCAATTAGAAGCTATCATATACTTACATTACTACTTCTAAATCCCTCAAAAAAAACAAAAAGAGCTTCAAAAATAATACTTTTTCCCCCAAATTTGTAGATCGAATCTAGGAATTACGATTGGTAATGGAACAGGTAGTGCAGTGGCTTCAACATTGGAATAAGTAAAAACTTTTCACCTATAGAGAATGTTGAATTCCAGCCTCCCACTAAAGAGAAAAAACACAAAGAAAAAATGCTTTCACATATATAGAATTGACCACAGATTAAATCATTAAGAACAATGGAGACCTTGCTCGGATACACTATATATTCAGCCATTTGCCCAATGAGTGAAATGACACCCTAATGGTATAGAGATCAAACAACCTAGGAAGCCATTTTTCCTGGTGGCAGCAGAGCAGAACAACAAGATGAAACAACCACAAACATAATTGTTAAGTTTATGTATGCATTGAGATTACTTCATTTGGCACATATGCAATCATTCATAAGGACTAGCATCAAATGGACTGACAACTCAGGAAAATATTTCTCTGTTCTTCATAGAGGAATACAACACTCTGACCGAGCAAGTAAAGAGATCTCATACATGAAAGAATGCTTGATTAACACTGGCCAATACAAAGACTACCACGTCAACACTTAAGCAATTCTTTTGCTTCATATTACGAAAAAAAACATCACAAACGATCCTAGAAATTCAAAATTACCTTCCACCCATGTTAGTTAAATAAAAATCCTAACTGAACTCATTTCCAAATAATAAGACATGATTTAAACTGGCAACTAATATTGAAAACCACATATTTTTTATGCTCAAAACCAAAGCTCGGACTCCCGTGCTTCTTGATACACCCATGTCCCCTGGATGGCTCCATTCTACTCTTGCTCGTCTTAAATAAACTGGAGGAGGTCAAGTTCTTTTATGTCTAGTGGTTATGGTCCATTTTGGGGTGAATTTGTTCATCCTATAATAGCAAATGCCTAAGTAACTACCCTTTTTACCCAAGACATGTACCTGGTTGAAACCACCTAGCTCAAACACCATCCCCACCTTTAAAACGTCTTCATAATAAAGAGGATTAAACCCTTTCCTAATGTCCTAAAGCTTGGTTGGAATTCTAAAAGGAATAAGACCAAGACACAACAACAACAACAACAACAACAACACAACACAGTTGAGGAATGAAACCAAGAAAATATTGTTTTCCTTTATTTCCATTCCTGAAGTCTTTAGTCTCTTTTTTCACACAGGACTTTAGTCATTTTATGCCACATGATTATCATAGCACAAATGAATAGCATTTCCCTAGTATCTCTATCATTGGGACGAAATCAGCACCCCAAAATAAAATAGAAAACATAGAAGAAAAGAAGACACCCAACATGTCATTTGAAATGAAGAGGAAGCTAACGAACATGGTGAATAGTCAGTCAACACACTGTATTGTTTACCATGTCTTGCTGCATTTCTTTCAACAAATAAGAAGAAAAGGGACTAATTGACACTTAAATCCTGCATACATAGTGCTGTGTTTCCCTACTTTATTTGATTGTGTTTGAAACATTCAGTGACTTTTTTTGTGCCAATATTCTCTTCTTCCAAAATTCTAAAATTGATTAAAACAGTCACACCAAAACAGCAATGGGGAAACAGAATCCAAACCTCGCTGTTGTTCAAAGCATTGTCAAGCTCAGTAGGGATGAAATCGGAGGTAAACTCAGTGGTAAAAGTGATCCCGTCCCATTTATCGCATGCCCACACCAATACGAATCAATATCAAAAACAAAAATCACTCGAAAAACGAAGAAACCCTAACATCAAAATCAAACCAGATGAATGTTGGGACCTGTCCCCGGAGGCGACTAGCTTCCGAGAATATCCGACGGTGATATTCTTCAATCTCCTTCGCCCTTTGGCTTTCCTCTCACTCACGATACTTTTGTGATCCTGTGCGAAAGATTCTTTTCAATGGGGCTGGCCGGCTAGGGTTTGGATAACCTAAACCCCCAAATGGAATTCAAATGGGTCGAAAAAATAAAACGGATCCAAAAAATCTGAACCCAATGTAAAAAAGGGAACCGAAAAGTTATTATTTGGTTTTTTTGTTATTTTTCAATTTGTGAAAATGAATTCAATCGAATAAGCCAATTTTTTTTAGATATTTTATTTTATTTATATGAGTATATATGATATGTAAATATAAATCATAGAAATATAAATGTAAATAACTGATTTGTCACTTAGATTTATTTTTCTTAACCATTAAATATTTAAAACAATATTATAAAATTTTAAAAAACCTAGCCATACAAACATTAATAACTAATTTTAATACAAAAATTATATTAACTTTAAAAATTGTTGCGAGTAATTTATATATTTATAATAAAAATGAAAGAATTATAGCAAAAAATGCAAATTCTCCGTATAAGTTCTTAGATGTTTGTTCGTTGGTCACTCGATACATATTTTTTTTATTTAAAATTGAATTGAATTCTAACCTTTTGTTCGGTTTTTTGTTTTGTGTAAAAATCAAATCGAAAAAACCGAACCTAGCGTACACATTGTTATTGCTTCATCAGGGTTAGTATGTAAACTTGTAAATTTTGTATAAACTTGCTACATTTTGTATCCACCTTGTCCAAAATAATCTAATTCCCTCCTTATAACATGTGGACGTGTAAGTGATAGAACGGGTCATCTCAAGCACCAACAAAACCATAAACACATTTAAATGACCAAAGAGCCATAAAACGTGTAAAAGTTAATCTCATTTTGGAACTCAATTTGGAGTCATAGTGTTCCCGCTGAGGATGAAGGTATTTTATTCCCTCCCACGCCTATTCTTTTATTTGTGTTCTTTATCGCCTTCCGTCTCTCCCTTTTCATTTCTTTAGAGATTGGTATCAGCGTTTTGAAAAGACTATCTACAAACATTGTTTAGCGTTAGCGTTTTGATTTTTTGTTATTTTTAAAGAGAGTCAAAAAAAGAAATTTTTTTATCAAATACTATTAATAAAAAGGGCAGAGTTTATTAAATGGGATGAGTAAGATGTACTCCATTCCTCCCAATTTAAATCGTTTGTTTCGGTTTACGATGTTTGACTAAAATTATTATTTCAAATTATTTTATATAAAAAATGGCGTAGAATTAAAAAATACATATTTAAAAAAACTACATCAAAAGATCTGCAGAATTAGTGTTAACATACTACATAATTTTATCAAATTACTAACGAAGATAGAGAAATAAAGTGAATAACGTTTGACACTATAAAAAGTGAACATGTAATTTAATTTGGGGCAGAAAAAGTAAAAAATAAAGTAAGTAGAAATAATTATGATACTCCCTCCGTCCCCCTAAGATGTTCTCATTTTGATTTTTGGTGATTTTTAATGAGAGTTGAAAAAAGGTAAAAGTTTACCATAATACCTTTAATGAAAATGAGAGGAGTGTATTAAATGAGGTGGGTGAGGTGTAATAAATAAAGTAAGTGGGGTAGTTGTGGTATTTTAATTGTTAAAAAATGAAATGAGAAGATCTATTGTGGACAAAGAAAAAAGGCTATTGGGAAGATCTATGAGGGTGAGGGGACAGAGGAGTAATATATATGAGGACGGAGAGTATCTCTTACGTCTAAATTGGTTCACATGAAACAACAATTGCTAATTCCACCACCGAGTTTGAGCGGAGGTGACGACGTCGGAGGCGACGGCGGCCGAGCGGAAGCTTGGGCCACTTTGCAGCGATAAGTCACTTTATTATTACCATTATTTCTTCCGGCAGAACAATAATGACGCTCTTGCCCCTGCCCCTTCTGCGCAATCAAGAATGGGTTATTGTTCATTTGCGGGGTATTTCCGTCAAAGTGAAGGAACCTCCCGTCGTTCCATCCGCCGGCGGCGCCAAACAAACCGTGTTGGTAGCGGCCGCCGCCGCCGTATCCGAAACCGGCCGGATCCATGAAAAGGTTAGAAGAACAATCTCCCGATTGCATCCAAGCAATTGCCATTTTTTTGCCCAATTTTTTTATTAGCTTTGCCCGATCCATTGTTCCAGACACTTCTAACATTCCGGATAATCCGTGCATCCTGAATGATGTCACTCCTAATCCACAATTATCAATCATAATTAATTCATTAATCTCACTATCCCCAAATAAATCACATGAAAGAATATTAAAATTGTAAATTGAAATCTTTTTTTAATTTGATTTGTGTAAATATTGATATAAAAATAAATCTATATCTTTTAAAATTACGTCAAAGCTTTACTATATAACAAAAGATGTTATAACTATATGTTGGCAACAGAAGAAGAAAGTCGGATCAAAGAAGGAAACTGAATCTCTTTGGGATTCAGTTTAGTATCTTTCCTAGTTTGCTTAGTTCTTATTTTAGTAGAAATAGAAATATTGTAGGAATAGAAGTTTACTTATATGCTTTACTCTCTTCCTATATAAAGAGGGTTAGACCTGTTAGATCTTTGTAATCTAATAAAAGAACAATTCAATACACAAATATTTTCTCCTCATATTCTTTTCTACATGGTGCCGGAGCCAGGTTCTTGGTGACCTAATATTTTCTGTCTTCGCATCTGGCGTGCGGCACCACCATTAGCCGCCCGCCGAGCCGTTGTTCTTCTTCCAATCCAAATTTCCTACCACCACCAAACTGACAACACCTCAAACCTAAACCTTACCCATATTGAATCACAAGAATCATCAGCATTCCATACCCTTTCTACCCATCACCTTACCGCAGAAACAAATCCATATTGGTTTGTAGAAAGTGCCGCACCAATTGTCAGGGTCTCTTTGGCCGCAAGTCACTCCCGTCATCCTTAGAAGGATGTCCTTCTCAATGAAGAATATAACTCATGAAGAAATTGTCCGACAAGGGTCTAACTACAGAGATAGACAACTCTTTATTTTGCCGGCGGAAAAAAATTAACGTTCAGGATGTTCGAAAAGAATGACGTTCGTCCTGTTCGTTTGAATTCGATGAAGGTTCGAAAAGAATGACATTCCTTTAATTGACTGATTACTCAGCGGATTCAAAAAGCTCGGCGTCTCCGTTGAAGAAAAAAACTGAAGTGTCTAGATGACACTTAGACAACGATGGCAGCGGCTTCCTCAAGCTTTGTTCAATCTTTTGATGTCCAAGCTGGGCATGTTGAACTCTCATGCTCCAGCTTGAGGGGGGTGTTGGCAACAGAAGAAGAAAGTCGGATCAAAGAAGGAAACTGAATCCCTTTGAGATTCAATTTAGTATCTTTCCTAGTTTGTTTAGTTCTTGTTTTAGTAGGAATAGAAATATGGTAGGAATAGAAGTTTACTTATATGCGTTACTCTCTTTCTATATAAAGAGGGTTAGACCTGTTAGACCTTTGTAATCTAATAAAAGAACAATTCAATACACAAATATTTTCTCCTCATATTCTTTTCTACACTATATTATTTTATCAGATAATAAATGATACCTCTCTATTTCTAATTAAATTTCATGTTAACTATTTAAATGATCAATTTTTTTTATTTTTGATATGATCATATTGTCATTAGTTTTGTAGATTTTTTAATGTAGTTTTTACATAATTTTTTAATTCAACACCATTTTTATATAAAATGATTTGAAAATAACTTCAATCAGACAGCGTAAACTAAAACAGACGATTTAAATTGAACATATATCATGAACATATATCATGTATATAATTATACGAACATATATTTTTTCTTAAAAGAAATCTAATTTTACTTTGGAATCACCATATATAAATAATACGGAGTAAGTAGGAATTTAAAATACTCCGTATATTTTTTTACTTTAAAAGATGTTCAAAATGGATACAAAAAACAAAAACCTAAAAGTTTCTTTGGAAATGATTTTTTATTAACAAAAAACCTTCTTGCTATACATAGACACTGTTAGAATTGGCAAATTTGTTGGTCAGGTCGAGTTCGAATCTGATCACTTCGAATTCAGGTTACTTCAGGTTTAGGTAAGTTCATGTTCGAATTGAGAACTACATGCTCATGACCCAATATCATCAAGTTTAGATCAATCCAACAAGTTATGAGAATTCTTTTAAGAACATTTAAATTCATATTAGCAATTTCATTTTACACTGAAAAATAATAAAATATTCTGTATCAAAATGCATATATTAAAACTATTTGAATATTTATTTTGAATTTTTATTTCCTTTTTAGATATGTTTAACAATGTAATGAATAGTAAAAAATTTAAAATGCAACACTTTTGAAAAATATAAGATAACTATGTGAGACATCTTTAAGAACTTGTATCAAAATATACGTTTATAGTACACTAAAAAAGAGTAAAAGAAAAAAAATTAAAACATAATCTTATATTTATTACATTATTTTCCATTTTAACGGGTCATTTCGAATTCAATCATCTTCGGATTGATAAACAAAACTTTGTTCAAACCCAATTCTCTAAGGAAGATCATTAATATTTTCCATTCTGATGTCATTTAATTAAACACTCTATAAATAACATAATTTGACAGCAAAGAATAACTTTAAAATTTTCAAAACAATTTCATTAATTCATTGGAATTTTGTGAAAGAATTACTCCGTTATTATAAGGACATGAAGAAGGTTTGACCTAATTTTATTCGTACTTATTATTCAAAAAAAAAAGGAAGCTGAGAAAAAAAAGAATTAATTGTAATTAAAGAAACAAACCTTGGATACTTTTAAGGACTTTCTCGACCTCTTTTTGCCAGCCAGAGGAGGAAGAATCAACCCAAATTACACATGTCTGCAACATTTCATCGTGCCATATTATTTATAATAAAAAAAATATTCTATAAATATTTCTCAATCAATTGCATATATATATCAAAATTAAAGCTCCATATGATCAAAGTGTTAAATTATATTTCTGCTAATAGATTTCGAAAGAAAAATATTTCTATTAATAAATAGAAAAATTAATGATCAAAGTGTTAAATTTGAGACTAAAATTTACTAAAGGCAAAAAGAGGGAGACATTAAATTGAAAAGAAAATCATAAACTAACGGGTAAAAAAAGTAAATGGTAAGTAAAGCTAATGATAAACGTAGAGGAATTAACTTACCACAAACGAGTAGTTTTTCCCTCTTAAATTCACTTTCTTGGGAGCCATTGATGTTTTGAGGAAGAAAGAGTTGAGATTATTAAGAGGTGATGACATTGAATAATAACAATATAATATTCGAACCAATTATATTATATCTCAAATATAATTATTCCAGCCGTTAATTAGGATTGAATGATTAATTGCACACACTAATTTGATGATTTGAAGAGAATGTAAAGAAAATGCTAGGTTTAAAAGTTTAGCATATCCGAAAATTTGGTAACAAAATCTGCATTAAGTAGTGGATATATATATATATATATATATATATATATATATATATATATATATATATATGGGTAAATGGAAGAGGTTATTATTTAACTTATTTCCATATATTTAGAATAATTAAATATGGAAACACTTTATAATTGGGGCGGATTGCGTACAATTTTTAACCGAAAAAACTCACTCTTGGCGGGTTATAAAAAGGCTAGGTCATTTTTTGTAATAAAACGATCAAATTGACACCATAGTTAAATGTTTAAATTTGTTTAAGATAACATAAAACTTAGTGACCCACATTTTCATTACTTTAAAAGGAAGTAATTAAATAAGAAATGCATGGCTTTTGATTTCTTCTCAAAACGAGAAAGTAGCCCCGAAGTGTTGTTTTTACCTAGTTTACTTTTAGTTTGAAAAATATATGATTAATTTTTTTAAAATAAGAGACTAATTATGTAAACTACATGCTTATATATTTTTAAAGGAAAAAATAAAGCGGGAAATATTCTTTGGCATATCTATAAGAAGAAAGTGTAAAATATGATGTGATAAATATAGTAAGAATTAGAAAATGTAAAAATAGATTTTTAATAGAGAATAGAAGTGCATATTCTCGAAAAAGAAAAAAAACATAAAAGATAAGTATTTTGAAAAGCAAGGGGAGTATTATTTCGTTCATTATCGGTAGATGAAAGAGTGTAAAATGTATGAACTTATAATATTTTTATTACTAGTAGCACTTCATTAAATTATTATAAAAAATATTAGTAATATCAAAGGGTCTATTTTCTTTCATAATAATAATATTCTCTTCCTCTCTTTTGAGTCATCCCAATTTCATTTAATTTTATAATAATATTATACTCACTCCATCCCTAAATAGATTACAATTTTTTTCTCTCTCCTCTCGATAATTTTTGTTTTTTTTGTTTATTTATGTAATTTCATTAAGTATTTGATAAAATAAAATATTCTTGTCACCTCCGGTTTTGTAGAACTTTTGACTTAGTTTTTTAATATGTAATTTTTACGTAGTATATCTTATTGATATACCAATTTATAAATAAAATGATTTTAAAAAGTAAGAAATTTTACTGCGTAACCCGCAATTTGTAATCAAATTGGGGACGGAGAGAGTAAAAAATAATATTCGTCAAATTTTGTTAATCATAACAAGAACGCTTTTAAGGATACTTAAAAGAGAATTACTACAAATATATCCATATATATAGAGGAAATCCTTTCAAAAAAAATAAGAAAATTATCAAGTTTGACTTCAAAAATTTAACACTAAATATCAAACCATAGACAAGAATAATGACTATTGTGCATCACATACTATTCCTTTTTGCATATATTTATAAAATAAAATATTGGACTTTTCAAACTTAGGGCTTATTATCTGATTGGCTCTAATCTAATATGAATAAAATGTAATTTGAATTTAAAAAATTTAGATTTAAAATTATTTCTGATCTATTCTAATTATAATAAGAATAAATAAATGATAATAAAAAAAAGTTGAAAATGAATTTTTACCATCTTATGAGTTTTGAACTACACCATTATTAGTATTGATAATAAAAAGGGGCCGGATTGTGAGGGGCACCATCGTAATTATATGAGTAATAATCATAAAGCGCAGGCGTCCGGATTATTTGGGAGGTCGGTTGTTGCCAAACGGCGTCGTTGCCGGATCGGAAGCCGACCCTGATGGGCCGAGTTGGGCCGTCTTGGCGAGGATCAAGCCCATTAATAGATAACATATTTTCAGAACACTGGCCCAATTGAACCCAAATAGCCCTGATGGACTTTTTAGCCTTTTCCAGCATCTTCAATAGCATTTTCAAATCCGCCTCCCCCGTCACCAATGTCTTTCCGTCTCCGCTCATAGTAAAATTTCTCACTCCTGAATATATTTAAAAATGAAAAACGTAAAAAATTGATTAAAATAAAAATAAAATATTAAAAAAATATCAAAATAGAAATTAAATATTTTGTTATAAAATAAAAGCTTTCACTATAGCCAAATTATTACATTCACCTAGAGTTCACTGCGTATCTTTATACGGAGTATATGTTAAACAAGTATTTTTAAAATTTAAAAAATATATCAGAAGGTCCATATAGATCTGTATATGTTGGCATTATTAGTATTGTAACTCTTATTTTGAGAATTAAAATGTATGTGAAAATCTTCTTTAATAATTTTCTCACTTTCTTCGGTTGCCTACAATTTTTTTTCTGTTTTATACTATGGTAAGAAACTTTTAATGAATGTGCAATTTTTTATATCCATATTTCAAATCTACATTATTTATTATATTCCGTGCACATTGAACCACATTTTTAAAATTTTCTTATTTCCGCATTAAGTCAAAATAGAAAACAAATTGTTGGTCTAAGAGAGTATTATTATTATTATTACTATTATTATTATTATTAATATTATTATTAATTTACTCTTATTACTCTACATGTCCCTAATTGATTACAATTTTTTTCTCATCTTTCATTAATTTGTGTTTACTTTTATATTTTTGTTGATTATTTGATAAAATAAAACATTCTTTTCATCTTTTTTTGTATCAATTTATATATACAATGATTTCAAAAGACATAAAGTTTTACGTCGTAATTCTCAATTTGTAATCAAAATTGAGACGGAAGAAGTATTACGGAGTACATCAAGAAATAAATAGAGGAAAATGACTAACATACCCTTAAAGCTTTTCAAGACAGCCTCGACTTCTTTCTGCCACCCTGTAGAATCTATGTCCACTTTTAACAAGCAAGTCTGAAATTATGTTTTCTTCGATTAATACTCATTAATACTCCGCAAGTAAATGTGTTTTATAGACACACATAGAAAATGAAGAAATACTTGGTTCACAAACACAATCGTCACAAACTTAACAAACTTACTATTTGTGAACTTCAATAAAAAGAATTAAATATGTTAGAAAAAGTCAATCATTTTAATTAGTTTTTTAATAAGTTGTTAGATTAATTAGTTGTGTTTACCTATTCTTATGCTAAGTGGGATATGCTCTGCGTAGTGATAGGTAGTGGAGTACTTGATCCTATTTTTTTGCTTTGTTTTAGCCTATAAAAGGCACACTACTCTTGGATGAAATAATATCAGAGAATTCCCTCTTCTTCTTTGGCTTTTACAGTGCTTCCTTGTGTTTAATATACTACCAGTATTTCTCTCTTCTTGAGTACCCATAAAGTGTTTGATAATATTCCTCAAAGAGTTTTCTTTTACATTTGGTATCAGAGCCTATTTGATATAATACAGGAAGAGTTAAAGCTGATTCATGGCGTCAGACAGTTTTGTGCAGCCCTCAATTCCACGCTTTAATGGTCATTATAACCATTGGAGCATGTTGATGGAAAACTTCCTGCGGTCCAAGGAGCTTTGGGTCGTGGTTGAATCTGCAGTAGCAGAACCAACCGCAGGAATGGCAGCAGAGCAGAGAGAGAGGCTGGAAGGTCTGAAGCTAAAGGATCTCAAAGCAAAAAACTATCTTTTCCAAGCAATTGATCGGACCATCCTGGAGTCTATTCTTAGCAAAGATACCTCCAAACAGATTTGGGATTCAATGAAGAAGAAATTCCAGGGAAATACCAAGACGAAGAGGATGCAACTACAAGCACTACGTTCGGAGTATGAATCACTTCGAATGAAGGAAGGGGAAAAAGCTACTGAGTACATTTCCAGAGTAATGACGTTGGTTGGTAGCATACGGAGCTATGGTGACCAGATAAGCGAAACTGTTATTGTTGAGAAAATACTTCGTTCTATGGCACCAAAATACAACTTCATTGTGTGTGCCATAGAGGAAGGAAATGATATATCAACAATGACACTAGATGAACTTGAAAGTTCATTACTCAGTCATGAAAAGAAGATCAATCAACAAGTTAATGAAGGTGAACAGGCATTAAAAGCTTCAACTGATGGTCGTTCTGAGGGTGCTAGCAAGCCAAATCATGGAAGAGGTAGAGGAAGGGGACACTCACCACACCAAAACAATCATGGAAGAGGAAGAGGTCGAGGTCGAGGTCGATATCCTTCAAACAACCATGGATCAAGGTTTGTAGATAAATCTACTGTTGAGTGTTATAGGTGCCACAAGTTTGGACATTTCAAGAATGAGTGTCACACTAACCTCCATAAAGACAAAGGAGAGAAGTCAAACTTTGTTGGGACTGAGCAGGAGGAGGAGATCTCTCTTTTGTTGGTGAGCAATGATAAAGAAGACACCAACAAAAGGCACATGTGGTATCTTGACACTGGTTGTAGCAATCATATGTGTGGGGACAAGTCTATATTCTCTAGTTTGGATGAAGCCTATCGAGATATTGTGAAGTTTGGGAACAACTCCAAAGTTGCTGTTATGGGTAAGGGAAAGATAAGTATCAATACCCAAGGTAACTCAAATCACATAATCTCCAATGTTCTTTTTGTTCCTGAACTAAAGACTAATCTGCTGAGTATTGGGCAAATGCAAGAAAAGGGTTATGAGGTTGTCATTAAAAGGGGAGTGTGTAGGATTCAAGATGACAGATTGGGGCTGATTGCTGAAGCAAAAATGACTCCAAACAGGCTGTTTCCTCTTCATCTTGAGAGCCTAAGTCAGAGGTGTTATTCAGCGGTGTCTGATCAAGCGGCTTGGCTTTGGCATTATAGGTATGGACATCTGAATTTTGGTGGTTTGAAAGCTCTCCAACAAAAGAACATGGTGATAGGTCTTCCAAACTTTGATAATCCTTCAAAGGTTTGTGAAGATTGTGTCATTAGCAAACAACATAGAGTTCCATTTCCAAAAGGTGTTTCCCAGAGAGCAAAACAACCCCTGGAAATTGTTCATTCAGATATTTGTGGTCCAATAAATCCTACATCAAATGGAGGAAAGAGGTACTTCATAACCTTTATAGATGATTACAGTAGAAAAATCTGGGTTTATTTTCTACTAGAGAAATCTGAAGCTTTTGCTGCTTTTAAGAGTCTCAAAGCACATGTAGAGAAAGAAAGTGGCTACTCAATTAAAGTTCTAAGAACTGACAGAGGAGGAGAGTATTGCTCACATGAATTCGAAAGTTTTTGTGAGCAGAATGGCATCAAAAGGCAGTTGACGGCAGCATATACACCACAACAAAATGGTGTATGCGAGAGGAAGAACCGCACTATCCTTGATATGGTCAGATGCATTTTAAGCAGGAGTGGCATTCCAAGAAGTTTCTGGCCAGAAGCAGTCAACTGGTGCGTTCATATATTGAACAGAAGTCCAACTTTTGTTGTTCAAAATATGACACCAGAAGAAGCATGGAGTGCAAGGAGACCCGCAGTTGATCATTTCAAAATCTTTGGATGCATCGCTTACGCTCATATTCCGGATGAGAAGCGAAAGAAGTTAGATGACAAAGGAGAAAAATGTATTTTTCTTGGTGTTAGTGGTAATACAAAAGCCTACAAACTGTATAACCCTAACACTAAGAAAATTGTCATAAGTAGAGATGTAGTCTTTGATGAAGAAAAATTCTGGGAATGGAATGAAGGGAACTCTAAACAAGGAGTCCCAGTTGAGTTTGATGAAGAAATAGAGGGTGAGCAACAAGTTCTTCCCAATCAGAACAATACTCCAGTAGAGGAAAATCAGTCTTCAGAAGATGACGAGCTCCCTCAACGAACGAGAAAGAGGCCTGCGTGGATGATTGATTATGAAGTCTCTGGAATTGATCAATCAGATCAATCTGATGATAATGAACTCACATATCTTGCTTTGTTTTCAGATTGTGAACCAGTAACTTATAACGATGCCACAACAGATCCAAAATGGAGAAAGGCGATGGATGCAGAGATTGATTCCATTGAAAGAAATAATACTTGGGAGATGGTCGAACTTCCTGAAGGANGCATGGCCCATTTTTCAGCTTGATGTCAAGTCAGCTTTCTTGCAAGGAGATTTGGAAGAAGAGGTATGTATTAATCAACCCCCTGGCTATGTTAAAGTAGGCAATGAGCATAAAGTATATAAGTTGAGAAAGGCTTTATACGGCTTAAAACAAGCCCCACGGGCATGGTATAGTCGTATTGAGTCTTATTTTATCAAAGAAGGTTTTCAAAAGTGTCCTTATGAACATACATTGTTCGTAAAATCAGAAGGAGACAAAATGCTCATTGTTTGCTTGTATGTGGATGATTTAATATATACCGAGAATGACAAGAATATGTTTGACGTTTTCAAGAAGTCGATGATGAAAGAGTTTGACATGTCTGATCTTGGATTGATGCATTATTATCTTGGTATAGAAGTGATGCAATCTGCAGCAGGTATATTTATTTGTCAAAGGAAATATGTGCAAGACATGTTGAAGAAGTTTAAGATGGAAAACTGCAATCCATCTAAAACTCCCATGGAAGCAAGTATGAAACTTGTGAAGAATCCAGAAGGAGAGTTTGTTGACAGCACTCTTTACAAGCAAATGGTGGGCAGTTTGATGTATGCGACTGCGACAAGACCTGATATCATGTATGCTGTAAGTGTAATCAGCAGGTTCATGGAACATCCAAAGCAAATTCATCTTACAGCTGCAAAAAAGATTCTCAGATACCTTCAAGGGACTGGGAATTATGGCTTATTGTACAAAAGAGGAGAAAAATCAAGCTTGTATGGATTTACTGATAGTGACTATGCTGGAGATATTGAAGATAGGAAAAGCACGTCTGGCTATGCATTTATGATGGGAGCAACGGTGATTTCTTGGTCATCCAAGAAACAACCCATAGTCACATTATCAACAACCGAAGCTGAGTTTGTCGCAGCAACAACCTGTGCGTGTCAAGCATTATGGTTGAGAAGAATACTAGAAGCATGTCATTTTCAACAAGAAGGTCCCACTACTATCTTCTGTGACAATAGTTCAACCATCAAAGTGTCTAAAAATCCAATGTTTCATGGAAGATGCAAACATATTGATGTTAGAAGATTTTTTCTGAGGGATCTGGTTAAAGAAGGGACTATTGAATTGGTGTATTGCAGAAGTGAAGATCAAGTTGCAGACATTTTTACTAAGCCGCTCAAGTTGGAAGCATTTCAGAAATTAAGAGAGCTACTTGGAGTTTGTCTGCAGGAGACTAACAATAATTAAACTGGCATTTATTAATGTTCAGTTTAAGGGGGAGTTTGTTAGAAAAAGTCAATCATTTTAATTAGTTTTTTAATAAGTTGTTAGATTAATTAGTTGTGTTTACCTATTCTTATGCTAAGTGGGATATGCTCTGCGTAGTGATAGGTAGTGGAGTACTTGATCCTATTTTTTTGCTTTGTTTTAGCCTATAAAAGGCACACTACTCTTGGATGAAATAATATCAGAGAATTCTCTCTTCTTCTTTGGCTTTTACAGTGCTTCCTTGTGTTTAATATACTACCAGTATTTCTCTCTTCTTGAGTGCCCATAAAGGGTTTGATAATATTCCTCAAAGAGTTTTCTTTTACAAAATAGTCTAAAACAATTCTAAAATGACAATTTAAATCATAAATAGGAGTAATAAATTTGTGGAGTTTGTGACTTTTCTGTTTGTGAATGTAGCATTACTCTAGAAAATATTACCTCTATTCCTCAGTATATATCATGTTTTGACTTTTCGCAATAAATTATTTTTAATTTTTGACTTATAATTATATAAAATATACTCCATATATTATTAGTTAATTAAATAAAATAATACTTTGAAAATATTTTTTATCAAATGGATTTAATAAAATTATTTTTATATCAATATCTAACATTACTTTAAATAACTTATGATCAAAATTTGTAAATTTTAACAAAAAAAAGTAGAAAATGAAGAAATACTCAGAGAGATCACAGTTTGACTTGTTGGTCAAATTGTGACACCCTTAGACCACAAATTAAATACTCGTATAGTTCAAAAATAATTTAATATTAGTATAAAGTTTTGATATTTCAAAACTATATTTTAAAATAAACTCAATTTTACTAAATTTACATTATAACTAAATATACATTTTCTATAATTTACGGTGGAGAGGTACCACAGTTTGATCAAACAAGTCAGGTTGTGACAATCGTTTAGGAACACATTAGTAAGAGAGAGAGAGAATGTGTGTACCGTGAAAGAGAGATTTCCGGGGTCGAGCGTGGGAGGAGAGGGGAAAACAGTGTCAAAAGTATTTATGCAACAAGCCCCTATTCTTTTGCATATTTGCAGAGCTTTACCCATGACGAATTGATGAAGACGATGATGAAGATCACACCTTTAGATATGGATGGATGTTGTGTTAATTATATAACGAAAATTTTCAACAAAAAAAGTACGTTAGCTAAATAACCTAATCGTTTTATATACATTTATATAGATTTGTTCACTTTTACCATATACGTAGTAAGCTAATTAACTTTCTAAAGGAAAATAATTATATTTGCTAAGCTAATTAACTTTCTAGATATTGGAAGGGTTCGTTACCATAATTAACTTTAACTACCATAATTGTATTCCATAAAAAAAATTAATGACACTGAGATAATAATACAATGATATGGTGCGAAAATATTTTTTTAGCCCCTTCTAAATCTTCAGCTTAAATGTTTTTCCCCCAAATTAAAATTAGGGCCAAGTTTAAATTTTATCTCTGTTACACTATTACTAGAACAAAAAAAAATGGGTATCCATCTAGCAAGTTGCACCGAGCTGAGACCGGTACATATACGGGGACGGGGACGGATTTAGAAATCGATAATTTTAAAAATTACAGGATGCGGGAAGACAAGGATTTGACTACAAAAAAATTAAATGTAGACGTACACTACTTCATTAGAATAAAATAATCCAATGGCCTACTTAATTAGCATAAAAAGTAATGCGGGGTACTTGTAATATCAAAAGTTTTATGTTTGGAAATATAAATAAAAAATGAATAAATTTAGTTTTTGAAATATGTAAATAAAAACATCATACCTTGTCCACACCCTGGGAGATCAAATAATAAGTACAAACTGTACAATATATGGACTCTGAAGTATCTCTCAATTTAATAATTATTTTAAAATATATCTGAAAACTTTTGACAGAAAGAAGGAAAAAGCAGGAAGTCTTTTCTAATCACCTTCTATAATCTAAGCTAAAGCTTTGGAACCGCAAATTCTTCTTTGGACCTAAGAAAATTTAATAAAATTTCATCCAAATCAATTTAATAAAATTTCAACTCATAATTCAATTTCAATTCATCAATTCCGTGTATAAAAGGGGCCCTAAGTATAATTCATCTAAAAAAATTATTTGACAACTCTAGTAAAGTTGAAGTGTAAAATAAATGTACTCTCTAAAAAAATGTAAAATAAATGTACTCTCTAAAAAAATGTAAAATAAATGTGGTTTTTTTATTTTTTAGATTGTTTTTTTGTGAAATGTATCAATGTAACTCTAATTTTTCTTTTGAAAAATAAATTCATTTGATTTTTCCTAATAGATTCTTTTTTATCCACATGTTTTAAATCAAACACTTTAGTTTGAGTCATAATTTATTTTATTTTTGTACTCTGTATTTTATACTTTTTAATTATTTTAATACATTTGTAATCATTCATTGATTTTGAAACAATATGTGGACTTTCATAATATATAAAAGCTTGATATAAAATACTACTGTGGCTAAAATGCATTAAAATCTATACAATTCCATATAGAATTGAAAAAATTATCAACTTTATATAATGTACATATTGTGAAAAATTTGTCAAAATATTTAAATTTTGGAATTGAATACACCATCTTAATTAGAATAGACAATTTTGAGATAATATTTAATAAGAAAAGATCATTTTTTGAACTTATTCCAAGTTTAGATTATACAGAGTAGATAATGCCAAAATACTCTCACTTAATAGTCATATAAATTATTATAAAATAGTTTTACAGAGGACCATCGAGAGAAGAATGCGAGAAGAATTTTAAATATGGCGTACTCCATGCCATGTACAAATTTATTACGTATCGAGATATAATTTGGGAAAATAGTTTATTAAAAAGAACCATTTTAAAAATTTACTTTATATTATTTATTGTTTATATAGAAATGTTCATAGAATCAACATAGAGTTAAACAAATCTCATCAAGGCGGAACAAATATGGAAAATCCAAACATCCCAAAAGCAGCAAACAATCTTTAGTTCTTTAAAGATACATTAAACCTTATATGCCCATCCCTAGATTTTAAGAGTGGCAAAACAAGAAAACTAACAATTGATCATCTGAACTAGTGAGGGCCATTATTGTTCTTCCCATGTCTTTTTAGGGACTGGCAAAAGAAAGAGAAAGAGTCCCTAAGCTCATTTGGGAGAGGGAGTGATAACGGAAGGAGCAACGGTTGCTGGCTGCCTCTGAGACCCGATGAAGATGACAGTGCTAAGGCGGGCTGCTGTTTGTTAAGACCTTCGATTATGAAGGAAAATGCCCCAAAAGTGAGGCAGCTTTGCAGTAGGGCCTGAGGTGCACCTGAGAAACCAGCAAACCGAATTACTTAGAGATGAAAAGTATGACAAAAAGGAGTGTATTTCAGAAAGAAAAAAAAACTATAGGAAATACTCACCAGAAGCATGATAAGTCTTGTGGTGTGTAACCCCAATTACAAACACCATTCAGATCCTAATCGTACGAGAAACTAATCCTAAGGATTGAAAATGATTTTGATGTTTCTATGAAACAAGAAGAAAAATCAAGCACAAAACGGGAACAAAAATGAAATGATGATGCAAGATGGCCACAACAAGAAATGGTGCAGGTGCATGAACCAAACTTACAGACTGTTTGTTTCAGCCTCTTAATGGTCCAGATGTCTGAATGGTTAAGAGATTTGCCTCTGAATGGTTAAGTATTATACAAAGTCTGAATGGTTAAGACCTCTTATCTGAATTGATCAGACATTTGCCTCTGAATAGTTAAGCAATATACTAGCTCTTAATGGTCAGACCTCTTACTGGTTCAGCACTTAATGGTTCAGACCTCTTGCTGGTTCAGCACTTACCGATTCAGAAGTTGCCAAATTAAACAGCCCCTTAGAACAAGATCAACACAAGAAAATTCATGAAAGGTGCAAGGTAGGGAGTTTGAGGATGGTAGGACGAAGATGTGTTGGGACAAAATGATCACACATGACTTGAGGACATGGCCTTAGATAGAAGAAGCATTTGAATGTCAAGGATTAAAGGCGTCGGGTACGCTTAGTTTGGAGTGGTACTTTGTGTGTTTAGTGTCCTTTGGGTTAGCAATATTTGGTGGAGTGTTTCCTTGTGGCATTCCGTTTGTCAATTGTTCTTTTTCTTTTCTTATTTCTGTACCTTAACCTATTGGCATGTACTCACATGTGTCTTTACTACCTTATGAAGGTATGGGTAAGGTGTGCACACAATCCATACATCTATCCCCATACCCCACTTGTGGGATATTCATGGGTAGGCTGTTGCTGTAATGCACTTTCACCTTTCTTTTCAATTTGTCTCAAAAAAATTAATTCCTTTTGACGAAGGAATTGTGTAGTCTACACAATTCCTAACTCCTCTACACAAAACTCAACCACACACTTTAACCATTATTAATAGCCATGTTCGATCAATTGTGGAATGTGATTGGCTTATTGTGGTACGGAGAGAATAGTTCATGAGAGAAAAGTGTGGAAAACTACCTGGAAAACTTAGGGCAAGACCCGTGCAACACCCAGCTACTCCAGCATTAATTACTGTGAAACATAAAGAAAAACTAAATGATAAAGAAAATCATTTGAGGTCGTGAAGGCGTATTCTAATTGACTGAGCTTACTATCGTCTTTTCCCCTCAGTCTCTTCAAAAAGCAAACCACAACGCTGTGTACTCCAGACAGCACTGCAAATGTCTAAAGAGGGAGGCAAAAATCATATTGATACTCAATTTACAGATATATGCCAACTAATTCGCAAGTAGACAGTAGTGATATTTCCTTAGTCAAATAAATTGTATCTATGATGGTTCAAATACCTTTGCAGATGAGCCTGCCTCTGCAAATGATCCTTTGAATCCCTTCTTCTTAAACAGCCCTGCACCTGATGAATTCATGGATAATAAAGTGTAACTCAGTATATCATTTAGTACACAAACACACAGTCTCAATAGTCTATGCAGATATTATCCGCTTTATTTGTCTCACAAGAAGGTTCCACATTTTCATATTTTCCACTTTTTTGAAAGAATTTGGTTAATTCATATTAGTTCTCTCTACTCTACATGAATATCAATAGCACAACTTTATCTTCCAAGATGCCAATAGAATAACAAACATTTAGACAATCCCTCCACCCAAAAAATGAAAAAAAATGCAAAATAGCATATCACCATTTCCTCAAAACCACACGAATCGAATAAAGCATATAAATTTGAATGTAGAAACTCTTCATTCAATTCAACGATTACGACTCAAAATCACAAACATTGAAAAGTGATTAAAGGCCGGCGGGAACAAAGAGACGTTTACCGTATCCGAAAATAGAACCCATGAACGCCCCGCCGAAAGAGTCAGCCGCGAATCTATACAAGCAGACGACGGGCGGGCTGGAAGGGCTGGTCAGTGCGTCGGAAGTGACACTGACATTGGGATCGGGTTTGGCATTCAAATCCAGAGCTGGAGTGCTCTCGGCATCGGAGCCGGTGCCGGAGTTCGGAGAATTCGTCGGCGCCATAGCTATCTATGTGAATCAATTTGGTTTGCCGGCGAAACCCTACTATGGGGTTGGTTCGTCAAGAAGCACCGCGGACCTTAGCTCTACCAGACGTTCCAAATTCGGATGGATATTCCTGTAGAAAATGCAGGATTCGCTTGAAGAGACGGCGTCGTTTGGTCAAGCCCTAATATCTGCACTTCTAAGTTCTGAAATACAGTAATTCTTTTTAGAATTCGTTTGGTATACGGAATTGGAATTAAATTGGAATTCAAATTTCATGAGATTTAATTTCATAGAATTAAATTCTACCAATTCCAATTCTTTTTTTACTCTATCAATTTCAAATCCACATAATTTTTGTGCTACCAAACACGTGAATTAGAAATGAAGTCCTCAATTCTAATTTCATAGTTTGAATTCCGTGTACCAAACGAAACCTTAAAATTTTTTTAGATGGCCAATATTAGTGCCAATTTGCTAGATGGTTGAGAGAAATATTGTGGTTCACCAATTGATATCTCCAAGTTCGAGCGATATTTATTACTCGTATTTAACATACACGAAGTACCATTCTATTACGAAAAATTGTAACATCGAAAGATATTAAATTTAAATCATGTTTAAGTTTCTTTAAACATAAAAGAGAAATTTTAGATGCAACCATCACTTAAAGACACAATTATCCATTTAATATAAAAGGGATAGATTTAGCAACATCTCATCGAAAATTTTACACAAATTCTTTCGTAGTCCTAAAGTCCATACTCATTTTGTGAATCAATAGACCTTAGTATAAGTTCTATTGATGAATTAGGCTTTTTGAATAAAATAAAAGATCCACATATTAATTCATGAAAATTGTGAGAAAGTTCATATTTTATGGAAAAGATATAATGGAAGCACTACTCAAAATTCTAATAGCAAGATACTCCTTCCGTCTCACAATAGATTCTACAATCTAAACGTGTAAAATCTCATCATGTTTAAAATTATTTTTTTTATAAATTGGTATAGATATAAAAGTATAAAGTATGCCGCTCAAAAATATATAAAAAAAATTTACAAAACAAGAGCTGACTAGAATATTTTATTCTACCAAATGATCAACGGATCGTAATAGTGATAATGACATCTATCTTAGGACAGAAGGAGTGTAATGGAAAAAAGAATATTGTAACGATCAATTTTTACGCACCTTAAGCTAGGCATTGAAAGTGTTATCCCTAAATCAACATGCTAGGGGTGCTTCATGAAATGCACTCAAAGTATACACCAAAGTTATGTACTAATATTTCAATGATTCATTGTACAGTATGCTAGTGTGATAAAAAGAATTTACAATAGTATTTTATGCCTGTATGAACCATTACACTAGTATTACATTTACACAAAATAAAAATATCTATGTGATATAGAATTTGAAGTATAATTTTTGGGATATAACTAACTTAATCCATCCGTAAATATGATACGACCTTGGCCACACGAGATGACGGAGTTGATTCCGAAGAAACAACGGCAGTACACCCCCGTTCCGCGTCACTTGCCCAAGCGTTGTTCGGCGCAACCGTTTGTCTAAAACAATACGTAATTAAGATAAAATAATAAAGTATAATAACATTGCATCTAAAGGATCCACTCGTTTAATATTCGAGGAAGCTCCCAAAGAAATGCCAAGAAATGGAGCAGCGAAAAGAAACTTGGCAGTCCTATCTATTGTATCTCATTAGGGTTTGGGCTCTCTACCTATAAATAGAGATATACCCATTTACAATAATAATAAGAAAGATTAAACCTAAACCCTATACTCTCTCTTCCTCTTTTTCCTTCCAGCCGCACGACGTGCGTTCTTCTCCCTTCTCCTTCTTTTCCTCTTGCTTCTTCTCTGTTCAGTTTCTAGGCAGCCCGGGGGAGCTCTGATCCTTCTCTTTACGATACTTGAACGTATCATTGGTGCTCTTGTTGAATCATGTCCACAGGTACGGTTAACACGGAGGTTTTCGAGGAATTTCAACATCAAATTGAAAACCAATTCTCTGCTCAAACATCCGCCATGCAACAGCTCAACCTCACGGTGCAACAGGTGCAGCGGGACATCTCCGGCTTGCTTGCACGCGTGGAAAAACATGGCGACGACTCAGGCAATCGCGGGGGAGGGCGTGGCCCTGACCTACTGCACGGGGGTAATCCTACATCACGGTTGAAGATTGATATGCCCAAGTGTGACGGGACTGACCCGCTGGGTTGGCTTTTCAAAGCACACGAATATTTTACATTCTACGGGATTCCGGAGGAATCTCGATTGTCAGCCGTCTGTCTTATGCTAGAAGGTGCCGCGTTGGATTGGTTTCGTTGGAAACAGCACAATAACCTACTGCCTACTTGGACCGACTTTGTCACCAAATCAAGCTTAGATTTGATCCCCTCAACTACGTCGACTACTTCGGTCTCTTGTCGAAGGTGTTTTATTATCAAATCAAGCGTTCCACTGGACACCCGCAGCCTCAGCAGCGTTCGAAGCCTTAAAAACGGCCCTCACCACAGCGCCGGTCTTACGGCTGCCGGACTTTGGGGTTATATTTGTGGTCGAAACAGACGCTTCTGGCACAGGTATTGGGGCGGTCCTCCTGCAACACGAACAGCCCGTGGCCTACTTTAGTAAAAAATTGGGCACTCGGCGGTTGGCGGCCTCGACATATCATAAGGAGTTGTATGCGATTGTGGAGGCGGTGCAAAAATGGAGACAATACTTACTCGGTCGGGAGTTTTTGATTCGAACCGATCAACGCAGTTTGAGGGAGCTGTTGAACCAAGTAATCCAAACACCCGACCAACAGTTATATGTACGCAAGCTTATGGGGTTCCGGTTCCGAATCGAGTACAAGCCAGGCCGTGCAAATGCCGCCGCGGATGCCCTTTCCCGTAAATTTGAAGATGATGCAGCGGCGGCCACCTTCATGGAAATCTCCCAGCCCCTAGCGGATGTCCTCACCCAAATCCGGCATGAGAATACTACACAGGCCGATCTCCTCCGCTTGCATGAGGCGCACAGGGGGGGTTTATTGCAGCCGCCATACACAGTGGAAGATGGGCTTTTGTTTTACAACCGGCGGATGTGCATCGGGGCGGCCTCTACCTTGCGGGCAGTACTCCTACGTGAGTACCACGATTCTCTGTCCGGGGGGCATGCTGGGGTGACGCGCACATTTCAACGTTTGGCTTCCCATTTCTTTTGGCCACACATGCGTCGCGAGGTACGCCTCTACATTGCGGCATGTACTATCTGCCAGGCTACTAAGTTCTCCACCCAACCTCCGGCGGGGCTCCTCCAACCTCTGCCCATTCCACAGCGCATATGGGAGGATGTTAGCATGGATTTCATTACCGGTCTTCCCCCCTCCCGTGGTTACTCGGTGATATTGGTCGTCGTGGATAGGCTCTCCAAGTACGCCCATTTCGGGCCATTACCGGCGAACTTTGATGCTCACCGAACCGCCTTCTTGTTTGTGGATATGGTTATTAAATTACATGGTTTTCCTCGCACAATCGTATCCGACCGTGACAAAATATTCACTAGCACTTTCTGGAGAGAGCTTCATCGTTTGAGTGGCACCACGCTCAACCATAGCAGCGCTTTTCACCCCGAAACTGATGGCCAAACGGAGGTGATGAACAGAACATTGGAGCAATATCTTCGCGCTTTTGTCCATGCAAAACCGCAGCGTTGGACAATCTTGTTACCGTAACAAGATTGTCAATGATACGTTCAATGATACGTTCAAGTATCGTAAAGAGAAGGATCAGAGCTCCCCGGGCTGCCTAGAAACTGAACAGAGAAGAAGCAAGAGGAAAAGAAGGAGAAGGGAGAAGAACGCACGTCGTGCGGCTGGAAGGAAAAAGAGGAAGAGAGAGTATAGGGTTTAGGTTTAATCTTTCTTATTATTATTGTAAATGGGTATATCTCTATTTATAGGTAGAGAGCCCAAACCCTAATGACTATGTTATCTATCCTGACGGTTCAAAGAAAAGCGACGAGGTAAAGAACCGTAAAGAAACCCTCGAAGGAGCTTATAATTTGCTCACCTAGGAAATCTACGTTACAATAATATGAAATAATAAAATAGAATTAATGCATAACAAAATCTGTTTGCCAACGCGGCTTGTTGCGAACCCGTTCACTGCGCCTTGCCCCCACNTCTTATTATTATTGTAAATGGGTATATCTCTATTTATAGGTAGAGAGCCCAAACCCTAATGACTATGTTATCTATCCTGACGGTTCAAAGAAAAGCGACGAGGTAAAGAACCGTAAAGAAACCCTCGAAGGAGCTTATAATTTGCTCACCTAGGAAATCTACGTTACAATAATATGAAATAATAAAATAGAATTAATGCATAACAAAATCTGTTTGCCAACGCGGCTTGTTGCGAACCCGTTCACTGCGCCTTGCCCCCACCACTGCCGTTGTTTCTTCGGAATCAACTCCGTCATCTCGTGTGGCCAAGGTCGTATCAAAATAGTTGACCTTGAGGTGTTTTATTATCTTATTAATTTTATTTTATTTTTATCATGTCCCGCTATATTCGTCTACTTTTGACTTTTGGAACTGTTCATCTAAGCACTTTGACTCATCAAATTCTCTCAATGTGTAAGCCTAAATATAGTCATGTGTGATCTTGTTTGATTTGTCTTAACATATAAATTATTAATATATAATTTCTATAATTTTTTAATATACAAATTACAAGATAAAATGAATTAAAGAATTGTATTGGATGATGTGTAAAAATAAAAGTGGACAAATACTCTGGGACGGAGGAAGTAATTGTTTATTATATATTTGATTAATGAACACATTATTCTTTTGAACAACTAAAGAAATGATATTTTTAAAAGATAAAAACCTAAAGTATATATACTAATCTAATTCAAGACCATTTAATTTAAAATTGAAAATTAACAATAAAGTTTACAAAATAAATAAAAATCTCCATACAATCATACTTGTAGTAGTTTGATGGCCACCACCATCATCATCATAACTCACACTAGAGATAACACCCATTGCTAAGATGAATGAAGAATCTATGCATGTCCCAAGCAGGGGCAATGCAGTAATTTTTGGAGCTGAGTGCTCAATCAATAGTCTTGCTGATATATGGTACCAAATTCTGCCCTCCATGCTTGATCATCATCATCATGATCATAATTTGAATGGGGTTTAGAATCGTTGTGACCCATCATCATCATTATTGATTCAGATTCATTCTTCCCCAGCAAAGCAGCTTCTGGTAATCTGCTCTGAGCAAGGTACCCTTTCATGGTGGCCATCTCCATCTTGTGTTTTCTTTTCTGTTTCTCCATTTGCTTCTTCAAACTCTCCTTTTCTTCCTCTGCCTTTGTTATCTTCTCCTGCAACGCCATGGAATTTGCTGTAAGAAATTTAAAATGAAATGAAAGTTTAATTTTGAAGAAGTTTGGAATTTACTACTGACCTCAGCAACAGAAGCGGTTTCCTCTGCCTCTCTCAGTCGGACAAGAAGTTCGCCGGCGGCATGAACCGCTTCGGCGGTGTCTCGGAGTTGAGCCTTGAGGCTCCTGTTCTCCTTCCTCAGAAGCTCTCTCTCCCTCTCCCTCTCCACTCTCAGAGCAGACAGCTCGGCGGCGAGTGACTTGGCGAACCGGTTGCCCTTCCTGCCTCCGCCGGCTTTCGCCGCCGCCATTTTGATGTCCTGGATCCCCGCCATGATCAGACGGTGCTTTTCCACCAGCTCGTTGTGCTTCTCCTGGAGATCGACGTAGTGCTCCACCATCCTTGCGTGTCCTACGACGGATCTCCGCAGCGCGTCGTCCAGCTCCGCCGTGCACTTCTTCTCCAGTTTCAGTTCCGTCTCCGCCTTCTCCGCTCGCTGCCGGATTGTCTCGATGTCGATTCTCAGTTCGTCCGTCAGAGAGATCCAATCGCTCTCCATCTCCGTCCATCTCTGCCTCTCCGACTCCAGTTCCTCTCTCTCGCCATTGTTCTTCTTGATGCCTCTCGATTGCCGCAGTTTTTCAATGGATTTGTTGATGGATTTGTTGATGCTAATGGCGTCACTGGTCTGTGCTTTTTGCAATTTGGTCCTCAGGGTTTCAATTTCTTTGACAAGGGCCTCCCTCTCCGCTGCATCGAAGCACTGGGTCCCACCACCTCCGCCATCACTGTGATCAACCTTTCCCTGGATTTCTTTAACAATCTCTTGTTCATTACCATCTTCCCCCTTACCATTCCATTCCAGAAACTGCACAAAGAGATTCATGAACTTTCTAATTGTTCATAGTAATATATGGGAGTAAAAGAAGAGTTAATTGGCTAAATTACAAACCTTTTCTTGGGAATTTATTGGCTGAGTCATATTCTTATCATCCATGGCCTCAACCAGACCACTCTTCTGAGTCTCACATTTGCACTGTGAGAGCTGTCATGATGGAGATGAGGTATACAATGTTAGTGACATGTGGAAAGAAATGCACTTCAATTGGAGCTATGGAATGGTAGGGAATTTTACCAATTGAATGAGCTTCTGGATCTTTTCTGCTTGTTCCTCACAAACACTTTCAAGCTTCTTCTCTCTTTCCAGTGCGTCTTTTAGATCTTTCTCAAATTCCTGCAGTGTTGTCAAGTGTGTGGGGAGCTGGTAAAAAGTCCATAAATTGCAATTCACACATAACTTGATCAAACATTTTTGCTTACGTGTTTATCGCTGTTGTTATTTTGGCTAAATGGAACTATCCATGTCTTCAAGCAGCTATCTTGAACTTCTTCTTGTGATGATGATGATTCTTGTTTTACAGCAAAATGGTCAAAGGAGAAGGAGGGTCTCATCGATTCGGAAGAGTTCTGCTGGTGATGGTCAATTATCTGCAAACCTCTTTGGAGACTCGCAGCCAAGGACTCGGTTGGCCCAGGAAATATTCTGCTCGACCTCAACGAAGAGGTCCGGAGATTCCTGTTTCCCTTCTCAGGTTCTTGTGGTAATCCAGAAGTTCTGAGACCTTCTTGGAAATCGATCTCGTTGTTCTTTGCTGAGGTTTTTGATGATGCAACAACTATGCTTTTCCTCTGGACATTTCCAAATTTCGGGGATTCAGAGAACACAGGATCCTGGAGATCAGTCTCCCTCTCAGGCACTTCTTCTTCTTCACTTTCGCTTTCTTCTGAACAGCTAACAAAAGGTTCACTCATCACGCTACCTTCATCGTGCGAATTGCGAATGTTATCAATCTGGATTTGAAGTTCTTTAATGTCATCCTCATTTATGTTGATTTCCTCCTCCTCCTCCTTGGGATCATTATTATCAAAACGGGGTAAGATCAGTGAGCGGTTAAGGCTCACCCTCAACTGATTCAAACTCTCACGCGTGGTGCTTTGTCCTTTGAAATATCCATTGTTCGTACTGGACCTTGCTCTAATCAGTTCTTCCTGTAACCCCACACGAAACAAATTAGATGAATTTCCAGTTTTCCACTCAGCTTCATCATGAAAAAGAAAATGAAAGTACCTTCAGCAGACGGATCTGATCACTCAGGCCATTCACATCATCTTCTGTGATTTCATTGATGATTGGTTCATTTTTCATGAGCTTCACCTTCTTCCCAAATCTGAGTGTGCTTATTGTGTCACTCATATGCCTGCATTTATGAAATTCATGATCCAATGTGGTCATTATTTATATAAAAGGAAAATTAATCTTGTTCAAGTCATCCAAGTACACACACTCCTCCATACTTGTCTTCTTGGGAGATTGTACATATCACAGAGAGTTTGGCATTCCCTCCCAATGATTCTCTCAGTAAATGAGTTAAGCCGGAACAGCTATATGGTACAGCTTCAGCTACTCTTGTACTGTTCTCTTCTGTTAGGATATTAACCAAACGCCTGCACGAATAAGCCAGAAGAACAATTACAAGCTGTGCAAATGAAGAAGGAATCATTGTTATTTATCAGAAGAAAATACAGGATTTCCTTGCAAGAAAAGAGTATGATTAACATACCCCAGTTGTGAGGTAGACTTCTTCAAGAATTTTCCTTCCGTAACGTACTGCTTACCAGCATCTTCAAGTAAATTCCGTTCGAACCCAGCGAGATCAACAATGGTAATTCTGCTTGTCTTTGAACTACCAAAACACTTTGATGAGTTCTCCTGAAGCATTCATTTAGGCAATAAGTGATCATGACATGCTAATATAAACCGGAAAGCTCTAAAATGGATGTCATGTTTCAAACATTTTAACACTCAAGTAGTCTTCAGGCCCATTAGGCAAGGGTTATTCAATAGAATGGTTGAACCTGTTGCATTTCTTTATGTGAAAATCATTTCATAACATCAGTTGTTCCCTTTCAGGCAGACAAGTGAGCAAATTATTCTGCCTGATAAGGCTACCAAACAGAGCCTTAGTGTTAGCGTAATGTCATCGTCACTTTGATTTTCATACACAAGGCATGTGAACACTCATTGATAGAATTGATGGTACCTTGCACCAGGACTCAATGATGCATGTGAACACAACATGAGATCTTGAACTCTTTGAGTTTACACCAGTTGATCCAACTTTCCTACTAGAAAGACCCTGCACTTATGAAAAGTTTATAATAGTAATTAAATACCGATAACAGTAAAAGTTTCAACCAAGCAATGTCAAATGTATGATGGTGTGCTTCTCACCTTGATCAAAATCTGCGTGACATCTTCATATGTACTCACATACTCCTCTGTCAAATTCTCAACATAAAATCCATTCTTGGCATCATCCTTTATCTGTGACTCCAAAAAATAAACATCATTCTCATAAACAAATAAATGCCACTAATTAATACATATGTCACAATGTCCATTGCCAATGGGGCTAAAATAGTCATAATTGCTTATGTTTTAGCTTCCAATAAAAATGACATAAAAAAATTCAATTGCTTCTTACTTTCAATGATGTTTTGGCCTTTTGGGTAGTAAATACAGCAACACATCAAAGGTCTAATGGGAACACTCTTTCTATATTTTGGAGTTGTAATTACATATCTCACAAACATAGACTGCAGGGAAAAAAATAAAACTTTTCTTAGAATGTTTTTACCTTCAAGTCCCTCAACATAGGATCAAGTAAATCCCCAATACGTTCATTGTATATCTGCATCAGTCAATTAAGCAAAGTTAGTAAACACCTCGACACCCATTCTAGCAACAGCTATGGGTACAATAAAAACTTCACCTCAAGGAATGAACAGCGGCACTGGTAACTTATTTGTTTATAATCAGAACTCTCATGCTCCTACATGATCAAACACAAAGAAGCATTGAGAGTCAGGTAAAGTCCTAACCTGCAAATGTCTTTTTTCACATTTGAACTGGGTAAAAGAGGGGTAATGAGGCAGGCTTACATTCTGAATGTTAGAAAACAGCATCTGGAAAATACGTGGAACAAGACCCTGAAGCCCATTGATAGATGGGGACTCAACCATGGCACTTGGAGGTCCGAACAGCGTATATGTCTTTCCACTCCCAGTCTAGTAACCATATACCAATTGTTAGCATTGCTAAGAATGTACAGAGAGTTCTAACTACAACATTAACAAATCTTTGTCTGTCCTATTTCAGCTCAACCAAACAAAGGCTAAAACAATTGATCTCCTGTAAAAGTACCTGTCCATAGGCCAAGAGTGATGTGTTGTAACCTGCCAGTGCATCTTTAACCAAAGGGATCCCAACTGATTGAAATACATCCTCCTAATCAATGTTCACATATCCAGTAGAGAAAATCAACCCACAAATTATATATGGAGTATCCGTTTTTCTTCTCAAATTAAGCTTAATTTACAGACAGAAGGGACAAATAAACTCAGACAGAGACTGTAAGTAATAGCTCTACATAAAAGACAGGAAATCCAAGATAGTATAGGAACAAAGTAACCAAATGCAATACCTGAGTCGAATTAGAATTGAAAACTTTATCGAAAGTGAACTTCTTATCCCCTACAGACAGAGAGTCCTTAGAAACTCCTCTAATCATCCGATCATCATTAGCAAGAGCATTTCCAGGTCTGATCCTCACCATAACCTACAATTATCCCATTACAAAAACCTTAGACATGGAAACTGTAAATTTCATATGAACAAAAAAAACCCAAAATCTAGGGTTTGAAAACTTCCATTCTAAAATGATTACCTTGACTGGCTGCCGATCAGGAGCTTCTGAAACTTCTTCTTTGGCCTCTGATCTGACGACTTCCTTTGGGGGAGTTCCCAGTTTCGACAGGGCCTTTTTGGGGAGTGAATTCGAAGAAAAAAGAGGCGGGTCGCTGATCTGAATGTTGGGATCGATAGGAGCCGTGTTTTCGCTGCCGAATTTGGATTTGGGACGAGTTGTTGAGCTCATCCTGCTCTTGGATGAGACGGATTTGCCAAGGAGACTTTGTAATGCCGAGTTCGAGATGCTTCCCAAAAATCTATTCTTTTCTGACATTTCTGAGTTTTCCGGTGAACTAAAAAGCAGGAACTTTGACACAGAGAGAGAGAGATTAGTATACAGGAACAGAAAGACTGGAAGAAGAAGATGATGATGATGACGATGAAGAGGAAGAAGACAGCGTGAGTTAGGATCGGAATAAAAGGAGCGTTGTATAGAATTGAGAAAGATGACCGTTATGAGATCTGCGATTCGCCTTTAAAGAAAAATTTGAATTTGGAATTTTTATGGACCAATGCCCTTCCAATGGGCTATCAAAATAAAATAATGGTCCCATGGGGCATATGGGTCACATTTTAGCAACAGGCCAGCCCAACCGATCTTTTTGTAAGGAAAATAAGAAGTTCAGCCTAGTTAGGCATTAGGGCCCGTTTGGTGGGCAAATGACATGTAATTTGAATTCTGAAACTAAAAATAAAATCTTAAAGAGATCGAATACTATCTTAATGAACTGTTGGTTCATTGCTTAAATCCGGACCAGACCGACCAGTCCGATTGCGATCCTTGATGTGATGGGTAAAAGTAGGATGTGATGTGTAGATTATTAGAAAAAAAGTATGGCGTGATAGGTAAGATTTGAAAAATTAAGGGATAAAAGTTGTTTTATAATAGAAATAAGTAGGAGATTGTGAGACGCAATTTTTTAAAAAGTGTAAATCTTTTTGGGACGGAAAGAGTCATCTTGCGATCTGGACCCGGACCTAAACCCATGAGGGGGTCTACATGTACGACATTGATTGCCGTCTCACTTTCCAACCTTTTAATTGGATGGTCCAGGTTACTTTTTACTTCCTTCATCTTCTAAAATGTTTTACAGAATTTTATTAGGAAAAAAAACTAAAATAAGAATAAAACATTAAAAATATATCAAAATAGAAATTTCATATTTTTTTCTTTTAAAATATGAGTTAAAATACATTTACATTATTAATTATAATAATGTAAATAACGTAAAATGCACATGTACAGTGTCACATTACCACAGTGCGAACTCATATTTAGAGGATAAAAAATGAAACTTTTATTTTGATATTTTCTCTATGTTCTAGTCATATTTATGGTGATTTTTTTTCTACTTTTGAATATCGAATCTCGTACTAAACTTCTATGGAGTAGTTCTCTGTGTTGCTTGAGCTGAGAATCTCTTAAAAATAATCTCTCTACTTTTAATGTGTAGTTAAAATAAATATCTTCTCTACATAAAATGAATTGTAGAACTTCTCGCTTGGCTTTAGTGGTATGAAACCAACTCCTCAAAGTTCATCAGAAAAGTCATATAGGCTTGTGTCCTAGCGGAACTGGACGTATTGAATTGGCTCACTATCCGTCATTAGATTGAAAAACTATGAACAAATATAATTTTATAATCGGGCCAATAGCACTAAAAAATGAATTAGACCCTAATTTTAGATATATCATGAGTTCATGACAAAATTAATAGATTGGTTCATACCAGTATTATACGGAGTACACAGAAGTTTTTTAAAATAAATCAATCGAAATCATATTTAATCATTTTAGCAAGAAAGTGACTTATTAACAACTTCCTTTACTTCCTCCAGAAAAAACTTTTTGCTTTTCTGTTTCGTTTTACTTAACATATTTCAGTTTACCATATTTGACTAAAATTATTTTTATTTTATGTACTAAGAAGTGGTGTAAAATTAATAAAATATATTAAAACTATATTAAAAAAATTTAGAAAAATGGGGGTATCATCAAATTAGTAACAAAAATAAATAAAGAAAAGGATAGAATGTAGTTTTACTCTATGAATAATTAATGAGTAAAGTGAAAAGAGGGAGTAATTTACAAGAAACAACTCTCCATCTCTCATTCTCATACTTATCTTAATTTTTATGTTTTATTTATCTTCACTTTTCTTTTGAGTAAAATATTCTCTACTTAATACGGAGTACTATTCATTTGTTCATTTTTTCTCTGCCTAAGTTTTAAAATTACTCCCCAAATTTTTTATTTTATTAAAAAATGTGTTATGTCAAAATCGAAAATAAATTGTCTCTTCATTCAAAATTAAAGATCACTCAATTTTTTAAAAGTTTAGAAAAAATGAAATTGTTTGGTTGAGATTAATGTAGATGAGAGATTTGATTATTATTCAGGACCATTCATTTTATTCTTAAAAAATGAGAATTTTATTTTGAAACAACTACAAAAGGAAAATAAAAAAAATTATTTTGCGACGAAAGTAATATACTTTGTAAAACTACGAGTCAAATTAACATAATCTTTCATAACTATCCGGTATATGACAATGGAGGGGTTTTAAGTGTTTTGGTGCATCGTCAAAATTGAGATGAGACCACGTCACATATGTGAAGGAACATCGTAAGATCCTCAAATGATATGAGCACACAAACCCCAACTAAAATGGAAGAGAAATGTTTGGTGAACACTACTTGAGCTATACCACATGTACACCAAGCTAAAAATAGGCACACACAGACACTTAATATTTCTGCGTGCACAGACATCAAGTGTCTGTGTGTGCTTATTTTTGACTTAGTGTACATGTGGTATACCCCAAGTTGTCTTCTATAGCCTTCCTCAAAATCCAAATATACCATAGAGCCTTACACAAACTTTTGTACGAAAACAAAACACTACTTGTAGACATTATAATAATGAAGAAAAAGACGAATACACCATAATATAATCAAAGAGACCCCACTTTGGTGCGAAAAAGGTTTGCTTTAACAACCCATGATATGGACAGACAACAATTCTTTCTTTCTTTCTTTTTTAAACAATTCATAGTTTGCTTCCAACACAATCTTTCCTTTCTTTGATAAGAAATTTCAAAGGTTGGCTAGTACAAAAGTGGGCCACACCTTAAAATAACTCATTAAAAAAACCCATAAAAATCTTCAAACCCCATGATTGTTTGTTTCTTGGAATGCCAGAAGAACAACAAATAACAACTTCCAACATCCACAATTATACAATATTACAATCCACACCTTAAAAAAACTACTCATTTCCATTTTCTCCCCTCTTTTGTTTTTTTACACAAATTCAAAGAAGAAAAAAACTTTCAAATCTCTACGTTGACAGACTAGAACACTTTAAAACAAACCCCAAACAGCTCCATAGAGGGGGTGAAAAGCAAAACACTAGTTACACGCTTACCTCACGGGTCATGCTACAATCACACCAAATGGATGACACCACGGTTGACAACGCCAGTGTCTCACAGTGACTCTGTGTGTGGTTGACTCTGACGGTGTCTAACAAACCCTTTGTGTCATCCATGGGATTAAAGTAGCATTTTCCTTAACTGTTTCAGGGCATAGTGTTATCTACGCGAACTACTCCCATGGTTGTTGGCGTTGTCATTATCGTCATCATCATAGTTGTCGGTTATCCCAAAGAAGAAAGGGTCCTGAAGAAGTTCAGAAGCAGAAGGTCTGTCGCTCGGGTTTCCAAGACACTTCTCAATGAAAGCCTTAACCTCAGGATCTTTGATTTTATCCATAGCTTGTGGCCTTATACCGGAAGACACCTTCTTGTATATTTTCACCACATTCTCGCACTCGCTGTAAGGCATCTCCACGGTCACCATTTCAAGAACGCACATTCCAAACGAGTAAATGTCCACCAGCTCCGTGTAGTTCTCGTCGTACAGTTCTGGTGCCATGAACTCTGGAGTCCCAAGAACAGAGTGTGCAGAGTGACTCTTCCCCACAATAGTTGCAAAACCAAGATCCCCAATTTTCACCTATTCAAACGGCATTTGCAGATAAATCTAAAGCAATCAGGTACTATAAATCCCATTCATTGACCCTATGGCATTCCATAGAACTAAAGAATTGTATTCCACTTGCAACTATAAAGATTCATCGCTGCTTCTCATGGGCCTTTCATGTCTTAAACCAAAAACTATCATCTGTTTATAGTTAAATCATGTATTTCTATACCTTTCATTCGAAGTTTTAAACCATGAAAATGTAAGAACAAGTTAATGTTCCACCTGAAACCCCCAAACAAAAAAGGGCTTAGGGCCATACAGTCACAATAGTATGGACAAAGGTAACAACAATGGAAACCAACAACAACCTCATTGGGGTCAAGCTAAGATGTACGCAGTCTTACCCCTATGAAAACAGATATTCTGTTTCTGATAGACCACTTAGACCCTAAATGCATTGCTTCATTTACTGCCCAAAACTTCATAGAAAGGAAAAAGGCAAGAAGAGATTAAAAGGTCATTTTGATTTAGTCCACTATGTGCCCGAAACTAAAACTATGTTGGCAATGGAAGAGAGTAAAGACAAAGGCAATCAATCAAAATCTTCAATAGCTGGCAACAAGGCAAGGAAAGGCAGTTTATGAGTAATATAAGAGTTGGAGGTGGGAATGATGAATATACCTGACCCACATTGCCATTGATGAAGATATTACTGCAATTGAGATCTCGGTGAATGACGCACGGTTCATGAGTGTGCAAATACTCCAGCCCCTTGAGGATCTGCTTCGACCATTTCTTCAGCGCCTTGATAGAGATATGTCTGTGTTTCTTCCGGTACTCCCTCAAATTCCCAGAAGTGCACACTTCTGTGATGAAATTGAGAGTGCTGCGTTCCTGGTCGGTCCAAACAGAGTACAGAGCAATTATGCTCTTGTGCTTCAGAGTCTTCAAGAGCCGAACCTCCGAATAGAGACGGTCTAGAACTTGCTGATCGTCCGCGAAGTTGCGGAGCTTCACTTGGTTCCAAGCCACTTCAATGCCCTCTTCCTGGTCGAACCCGCGGTACACCTTCTTCACGGACCCACACCCTAGTAGCTCGCTGTACCGCCCGTACCGCCCAGTCGGATCAACCTCCGCGAATTGCTCCATTTCTCGATCAGAGGAATCCCTAGTTCCGCCGCTCACCTGCCATCCACATTCAACAACAACCTAGTAAAATCCCACAAAAGTAGGGTTAGAGGGTGAGCGTCCGCAGACATTACCCCCTTTACTCGAACATACTTTACTCGAACATACAGAGACTATTTCCAAGAGACTCTCAACTCGAACACAAAACATAGATCATGCAAGCACCATCAAGATTCAACAACAACAACAACAACAAGATCCCACAAAAATAGGGCCTGAGGATGAGTGTACGCAGACATTAACTCTACTAAAAACATAGAGAGACTATTTCCAAGAGACTCCCGGCTCAGATACAAAAGAACAAGCAAGTAGAATCAATAGAAACAGATCATGCAAGCACCATAAAGATTCAATCATGAATCATTCAAAAACAAAATCAAATGGCTATTTGAAAAATTCAAACTAACATGTGTCTGATTTGACCAGATTAATCATAACCTCAGGAAAACCTAGCATTTCACAAAATCAAACAAAAACACATCCGGGAAAAAAATCCAGTTTACAATCCCATGAATCTTGAGGAGCATGACGTTGTAAGCAACAAATTGGCAGTGATTTTGATCGGATCAGACGAAAAAACAGGTAAATGGTGCCGAATTAAACATAAAATGGAAGAAATCATACGCCAAAGTCTTCCCCGGCGGCATTTTGTATTATGATTATTAGAATTTGAGGTTTTAATGGATGAAAAATGATAAAATTAATTTTAAAAAATGAAAACTAAGAAAAAAGATAGAAATGATGAATACCATGTAGTAGGAAGGCTCCGGAGGAGAGGCTTCTTTCTACCTGACGACGAGAACAGAGCAGCCGGGTGGCGCGTGGGAATCACTCTCTCTTTTTTCTTTCTCTATGCTCTTTGTTTTTCACAACGTACCATGGCAGAATCTTGCAGGGCGAGGGTATTTAAGGAAAGCGCTCTGACTTTTATTGGTAAAATTGTTAACAAAATTTTAATCTTTGACCAGACTATACTGGAAAATACTGTGCTGAGATAATTTTTGAGTTATATATGAGTAAAATAAACATTTTCTTATTATTTAAATAAGTTTTTATTTTTTTTAATAAAAAAATTTAAAAAAATTATGTAAAAAGATCCACAAAAATAGTACGCAGGTGCATTATAGAAGTACTCTTGACTTATATTATTGTATGCAATAATAATAGTTGGTATGGTCGGTATAAACTTAAGGATTACGATTAACAACTTTTATTGTATTGAGAAAAATAAATTACAACGGATTCTAAAAACCGAATAGAGAGACAAACATATATGGTATTTGTCCAAACACACATGCATACCAAAAATGAAAACTTAAATCCATATTAAAAAGGAAAAAATGAGAAGATTAAATCTAGAGGAAGAGATTGAGTATAAGTACAAAAATTATGCTAAGGTAATGAGTATTAGAAACTCATTCTACAAAAAGAAAAAATATTCTTATTTGAGGTAATATATCTCTCCATTAATCTCTCTCTCTCTTGTAGGTTACATGTGTGGGAGTACTCTATATGGTAATTAATCATTGTATTTATATTTGAGTATTTTTCTTATATATATTTCCTTGTTTTATTTTCCTTCTTATAAAGACTTAGTCTATGGACTATGAATAACATTTTTTATTAGTGTTAGCATTTTAATATTTTCTTAAATACAAATTAATTTTGAAAGGCAACTGCTTTCATGGTCCTTAGATCCATTCTAAGTATATGGACCTTATAGACGTGGACTCCTTAGTATTAGTATTAGAATTAAGAATAAGATTATGATTATGATTAGACACATTAGCTTGTCTGAAACAATCTTATTTCTGTTACATCAGTTTTAACTTACACCAAAATTTCACTGGAAATGGGTGTGAATCCCTAGGGCTTCAAACTTCCACTTTTACATTTTTGAATACACCTTTTCTAAAATCAATAACATTTCATTATCTAATACTCCGTAGAATTTAAAGGCAATAATTCATTAAATAAAAAAATACATTCAATAAAAATTACATTAATAAAATAAGATTTGAATAATAACAACATAAATAAAAAAATAAAAAATTATTTACATTACGAAGAAATTAGTGATTATTCGAGCGAATAAAAATATCTTCAATTAAATCCGTCGTTAGTGCATTGTGAATCTCTCGGTTTCGGATTTCTTAGTGGTTTCTTCATTTCTTTTCTTCATCGATTTCTTCGTACGTAGGCACCTCCTCGTTTGGGTTGTAATGACATATTGCAAACTCGTTATCCTCTATGATCATATTATGAAGAATAATATATGCGTACATGATATTCTTCATTTTCATTTGAATATAACATTTGGATGAACAATCTAGAATGTGTCACTTAACTTTCAACACCCCGAAGGCTCATTCGATATCTTTTCTTACCGCCTGATGAGCTTTTTTGTAGGCCTGACGTTTAAGACCTATTGGTTCAGAAAGGGACTTGACAATCGTGAAATAATGTAGATATATTCTATCCGCAAGATAATATCCACGCTTGTAAAGCGTCCCTCTAAGCTCAAAAGATGAGTTGGATGTGTCTCACTAATCAAATCGTCAAAAACAGACGATTGATCAAAAATATTGATGTCGTTGTTCGAGCCGCAACACCAAAAAAGCATGCCAAAACCATAAGTCATTAGAAGCCACATCTTCGAGCATAATAGTAGGCTTGGGATGATCACCCCGGGATGCCTAGCTTGTAATATAACTAGGGGTGGGCACGGGTCGGTCCGAGCCATGAAGTACGTATTGTAGTCGTTGAGTAGTGAATCGTGTGCAGCTGTCTGATCACGGTTTAAACGCCCACGTCAAGTCTGGCGTCACGACGATTCCGCTTGTTCTTGTTGGCTTTGTTGCCACCATTGATAACAACCATCGTGAAACAACGAAAAATGAGAGCTCTCTTTTCATTGTCAGATGATGATCCTATTTTTTGAATATTTTGTAGAGACAATTAAAAGAAATATAAAATATTTTGATGAAATTATGGAGAGAATGAGAATATGTTGTGTGTTTGTTGTGTTAAAAATTAGTGGTATTTATACTTTTGAAAATTAAAAAAATAATATAATGCCCAACTGCATTATAGACGTTTGGGCCACCAACGGCTCTCTCCCTCCTCTTTCTCAGCGTTAAACGTTTAACGTATGAGAAGTGACACCCGTATAACGCCTCGGCGGGGGGTGGGGGTGGGGGTGGGGGTGGGGGAGTGTTTAACGGCCCGACTACGTTAAATGTTCGATGACGCCCCCCAGCGTTAGGACCAATACAAGTGCTCTAAAGATCAAAATAGACTCGTAGAATAAAATCAAATGCATTATTGTAAAAACGATCTACCGATGTATTTATTCAGTTTAAAATTTTCGAATTAAATTGGATGAATTTTGAATTACAGTTATATAAAAACTATAATGTATATTAATGTAAAAATAATTTCATTAGATTAAATTTGTTTAGAATTTTTAAAATTTTATTTATAATATTAATATCAATATAAAATAAGAATAATTGATGATTTAGTTTAACTAGTTTGAGTAAAAAAATGAAAGTGAATGAGTACATTAAAACTAAGGGATTATGTATAAAAAAGAAAAATTCTTCATATGCCTAACTAGGATATAAACATTGTGTACTACTTACAAAGTACTTAAATATCAAAATAAGATTTTAAATATTTTTATACGAAAACAAAAAAATATAATGCCACAACATAATGGCAAAAAAGACTACAAATGCAATGGAGTAATAAAAAATGTGAAATTGCAAATGTTTTACTTCATTCGTTTATCCCATAAAAGTTTTTAAAGATAAGAAAATACACATCTTAATTAAAAATGTATAATTTTGAAAGTATTCTCTAATTTTCCAAGGAGGTAAGATAATTTTATTTTCTTCCTTCAAATTTTCATCTTCATTTTCTTTCCTATCTAAAAACTTTCCCATACACGGTTAGAGAGGGAAGGAATATTTTCTACGGAGTAAGCCACGACTCCGTTCAAAAATAGCAATACGGCGTGGTAATTAAGACTTTTGAAAACAATGCGTGTTTGAAAATTACTTGACAAGTAAACTTTACTTCATACGGAGTACTCCGTATTAAATACTCCTTCCATTCCAAATTATATTAATTACGGAGTATTTACTATTCACAGAGTTAAACTTTATTAACTATTTTCTCTATTTTCGTTAATCATTTGATAAAATAATATAGTCATATCATCACTACTTTTGTAGATCTTTTGATGTAGTTTTTAAATATATAATTTTTATTTTTTAATTATACACCATTTTCATATAAAATAATTCAATCAAATATTATAAACCAAAACAGACGATTTAAATCGAGACGAAGAGATTAATTTGATCGTGTCAAACCATTAAAACAATTTTTCTTCTCTTTCTCCGAGAAAAATGCTAGAATCACCAAGAAGAAAATAAAAATGCATAAATTTATGATTTACTCATTCTAAATTTTTAGTTATTATAAGAAATCCACATGAGTAATATTTGATAATAGATAACTAAATATGAAAAAGCTCCTGATATAAAGAACCAATAATAATTTACTCTTTTTTTAATGATGTTCATAAATAACGCATTTTTAAATTTTGTGAGTATTTTCTTTATGACTCAAACATTTCTCATTCTGCAAACACGAACTAAATAAAAGCACCCCTTGTTTATTGGAAGATTAATAGTGCATTAGCTTTAAGAAACACGAATGCATTTTGTTTGGTTCAAATGGATAGGGAATTGTATGTACTCCGTAACTTACTATTACACGGAGTACACATTTATGTGCAAAACCAATAGAATCATAGGTCAAAAACTCATAACTAAATCTAACCAATAGTATATTTAGGAGTTACGATACATTTTACGGAGTAAAACAGTAACAAATCTAACTTAAAAAGAGTAAAATATTGAAGTGTTGGAACGGTAAGTCCAAGATCTAGCAAAATATTGAAATGTTAGAATACACTCATAGAATCATCATGTAGCAAGTTCTAGCATTGTATCTGTCCCAGTCATAGAACATACTTTCTTGGAACTTGCTACATGATACAATGCTAGATCAATTTGCACATAGTTTCTTAAAATGAATTCTCATATAAAGTTTTTGCATGTTGCGTTGGGAATCTAAAGTTTTGGTAAAACTAACAATAGAATGTGCTTAAGCTAGTCTAAACTCCAATTTGTACAACCACATGTGTGGCATATAGCAGTAGCTTAATAAATGAGCAATAAGCTCTAAAATAGGCTATAACAATGATAGTATACGATTATACGCCTTTATGCCCTATGTTCGTGCTAAGAGGTTCTAAAAGTTAGAATCTTGTCATCCACAGACGGTTATGGGGAATAAGATCACAATTAGAGGACAGGTAGCAATTGAAGAAGACGATCCAAGGCCATTGTTGTTCGGATCCAAGGCCATTGTTGTTGTATTCCCTTCTATATTGCACCTATGATATACTATCGATTTAGGGGTTAATGACATCAACATATAGTTGCTTAAATTTGACCAAATTTGCTCCTGCTATACATGACCACCTAAATTAGCCAACCGTCTTCTCACTTCAAACACTCGTGTTACCCCAATCTAATTCTTAAAACCCTAATTTCACCCCCACTCTAATTCCGACAACCCTAGCTTCATCCCACAAACAAACCAAACACAGAAAGCCAAAAAATGTAAAGAAGTTAGAAATCTATACACCTAAAAACTGATACTTGATTCCAAGTTAATACCAGCAAGTGAACCCAACAGGCATTACTCAAATCACTCAGCTCAAACAGAAAAGAAAACAAGATCAAAAGCAAGTCAAATCATCAAAAATATAGGTCGAACTCAAATAGCAGTAGCATACAAGCAAAGTTTAATCAAATGGTCATAATGTTTTAGTAGCACAAAATAAAGATGTGTTCATATTTGTTTCAGTGGTTCTTCAAGTAGCACAATGAAATGCAGCAATACATAAATATTCAAGCTCAGCAAAAAAGAAAAACCTAATGTGGCTCCATATCACAGACAAGGATGAAGAGTCAAAGAGAAAGCATCCAAATACAAATCTTCCATTTCAAGCAGCTTGCCAGTACACATTCGAAGAATGTTTCATCGGATTCGAAATAAAAACATCAAAAGCGGCACAATTATTCATAATACCATGGCAAATCTATCCAGCTTACTTGGATACAACAGAAGAAATAGCTCATCTAGACAGGGACTTCTTGTACTTAGCTACCTCTCCTTCGTTAGGGAAGAATCCCATGAGCCTTCCCGCAGAGTTCTGGTAAGCGTACATGAACCCTCCCATCAGCCCAATCAGTCCTCCAGTCACCATTGATGGCCCCCTAATCCCAGGCTTTATTCCTAAACAACACCGATTAAACAGGGGAACTTGAACATCAAAGCTCCAGAAATGTGAATAATTTCATAATCGGAGCAGAAATCACGGGGATTACCTGAGAGATAGCCGACGGTGACTGAGATTCCGGTGATGGTGGTGAACCGGAGGTAATCGAGAGTGTTGAAATTGGAAACGACGGTCGTGAAGGGCGGATTCCGATCTATCACTGGATATCCTGGCTTCACAGAGGCCGTGATGTCGGTGTTCATCTTCGTCTTCTTCCTCGCTTCTCTGCCCTTTGAACAAAGACACTTCTCAGCACAGCTCGCCAAAGACACTTCTCAGCACAGCTCGCCTTTGTTTCTCTTTCTGGTTTTGGATCTTCGCTTCCTATCCCAATCCAATGATGGCCGGGCCCGCTAACTTGTTGGGCTCGACCCAAAACTTAAGTTATTCGTCGGACTTGTGAGATCAATGTATGTCCTTAATCAATAAGGGTCCAAAAAAATGCAATTTACAATTCAAAGCTTAAATTATTAATTTTAGAATAATAAAATCTTACACTATTAATTGTAAATGAACTATGGTAATTTTTCAATCTGATGTGTTCGTCCAATTTGATTATTTAGCAATAGTATTGCTAAATTCACTCATCTTTTTGTTAACTCTCTTCGTCTAGAAATGTTTTTCACGTGTTGACTTGACACGCTTATTAAGAAATAAGTAGTAAAAGAGTATCAAATTTCTAAAAATTCACGTACTATAAATATTTAGAGCTTCTTTTCTTATTAAAAAACAATAAAAAAGTAGACTAGTGGTAAAGTAAAATGATATTATTGAAATTTATACTTAAAAAGTAGACTAAAAAAAGAAATAAAAAAATATGTCCGAACGGACCAAAAAGAAAAAATTGGAAGAACATTTTCGGACGGAGTGGGTACTCTAATATTATTATTGATTATTAAATTAATGAGTGTAAAATTCAAATGACATCTAAGTCAAATACAGTGAGTACTCTAATATTATTATTACTGATTATTAAATTAATGAGTGTAAAATTCAAATGACATTTAAGTCAAATACACTTTGATATTATAACAACGAATTAACCAACCAAATCTTCAAAGTTATAATTGAGAGACATAAAAAAATTTAATCCAAATGTGGATGGGCCTAAAAAGAGAAATTGACTATAGGCCTTTATTTGTGCCACGTATTTACTTTTGCACTATGATTGCAAGGGTGTGTGATTTTTACCCACGCAGTAAAAAAAATAGTAATGTCTCACATGGAAAGGGAGATTTGGGTGATAATGAGAGTGATGAATCAACAATAAAGCGACATCTTCCAAAACCCAAATTGATAATTACTCCCAGTCAATCTTATAATATCAAAAAATAATACGGAGTAATAATTAGAACTAAAACATTTTTCATATGCTAAAATATGAGTGAATTATTATTATATTGACGTAGTGTTAAATATAGAACCTTTGTCACGCCTATATGAGTTGTTTAAATTTCATCAACATACGGTATCGAAGCATTGACCACTTAAATGTTACGTGTCCAAATTTCATTGCCACTTAATTTTAAAAGAATTACACCGTGGTATATGTTCGCATGCCACATTTGAGCGAAAACAAATATTGCACGTGACCACTCAATAAGTAATGTGGTTTACAGAGAAGTATTCTAAAAAATTTTATTTTTGTTATATATTTTCAGTGAAGAACATTTTGTCTTGTATAAATTCAAACAATTTTTTTGACGTGAATTGTTTTTATTATACTTTGTATACAAATGTGGAACACTAATCAAATCATTGAGCAACATTTATGCAAATATTTCGATATTTTTTATTTCTATTTTTTTAAAAAATAGACGTACATTACACGAGTACAAATCTAGTTAACAAAATACTCCGTAATATATAAAGCTTAAATAACATTATTTTATTTACATGTATTTAAAAAAATGAAATGGGAATTGAGATTATATTTGGATTCATTTTCACTCATGATCTAAGTCCATTTGATAAGACCTTAAATGATTGAATGAAGTGGCTGGTTTTTTAGATTACCACTCCAATAATTGAATGGACCGATAATTGGTGACATTTTTTTTTTATAGATATTACGATTTCGGAGAAATACAAAGTAAATTTTTTGTATTAGCGTAAAATACAGATTACAAGTACTTAATGACTAAAATTTACTCTCTCCGTCTCTCTGAGTACTTGTTCAGTTTTGAATTTTTTCGGTTAAATGCTGTCAACCTTTGACCTATAATTAAATAAAATATATATTGTATATTAATTATATAAAATAATATTTTGAAAATATTTGATATAATAAATCTAATAAAACTATTTTGTGTCAATATCTAATACGAGTATCATTTTTATTTAATTTGAGATCAAAATTTACCAATTTTAATAAAAAAAAATCAAAAGTGGATAAATATCCGAGAACGAAAGTAAGAAAAGTCAAACTCGTGAAAATGGCAAAAATATCATATAAACAACCAAAGGAAATCTCACTCTATCTTTTTGCATTATCCGTAAATCATGCCCTTGTATTAATTAAGTATCATCACCTATAAATAGCAAGAAATTCATCTCGATCTTCTTCACGTACTACTCTCTCACTAGCTCCCAAAACATCATTGAGAAAAAAAACTCCACAATTAATGTCTTCAAGTTCAAAACCCATGAAGAAAGTGACCAAAATATTAGTTTCTGTGTCTCTTTTCTCCATCATAGTTTCTTGCAGCAAGCCATGGCGTTTGCAACCCACCCTTTTCTCACTCCCCATAACCCTTGACAAGAACTACATATTCCTCATCTTCAACGGGATCCTCGTACTCCTCGCCCGAACTTCCGTGGGCACTATCGGAACCTCGTACGTGAAATTGCTCGACTCCTTGTCGCGCAATGAATTCGATCGTTGCGATCATCTCGATGGTTCCACGAGTTTGATCATGATGGTGATGGGAGAAAATGATCATGAAGAGTTGTTGGTCATGGGAGAATGTTGTAGGAGCAATAGTAATTACATTGTGGAAGGAGTGGCTGAAAATACTCCGGTCTTAAAAGAGTTGTCGAGAGATCAGAATTGCGCGGGTGGTGATGACGACGGGGAGCCTGAAAGCGATGACGTGATTTTCATCGAAGAAAGAGAAGTGGCTGAAGAACGAGAGAGGTTAAACAAGTTAAGCGCGGATGAGTTGAACAAGAAGTTTGAGGAATTCATTTGGAAGATGAAGGAAGACATTAGGATTGGAGCACAATCACAATGCTTGACATTGGTCACTTGTTGAGAACAAAAAATGTGTGCAAGAACAAAAAAAAAGTACCCATAAATATATTGTTTGTGTAAGATATACTTTGTATAATGTACTCCCTCCGTTCCACAAAACACCTCCGTTTTAATTTTTTGCGCAGCCCATAAAATACTTCTATCCCACCTAAAATGTCTAAAATACCCCTAAAACAACTTCTACCTGCAATAAACTACTACATAGTGGGGTATATTTTAGATATTTTAGGTGGGAGTAAAAGCATTTAATGAGGTGCACAAAAATTTAGGGCGGAAGGGTTTTAAGGAACGGAGAGAGTATAAGGTAATGTACAACACTTGGTGTTTTTGTTATACATGGTGTGTACATGTAGTCTCTGTTTTTTGAAAGCAGATCCTCTTTCTTTCGTTTTTGTTTTTCTTTTCAAAATACTCCACTAATATATCCAAATATATGGTGTACTTGTACATGTACTTAGCTTCTTCCATTTTAAAAAAGAGTCCATCTTTTATTTTTTTCATTTTCTTCAAAATACTTCGAGTAATATATCACAATAAAGTCATTGCAATATATTATATTTATTTTGCAGTGATATAATGAATTATTCAAGTGATTTATTTTGTTATTTTCTTCAACACTAAAGATATAGTTAAAAAGCAAATTATGAAAATAAATATGTCAAAAGTCAAAATATTTTCCTCATATCTATCAAAGCATGTAACGAATAGTTAGGTTCAAATCTTCAATAGTTCAATCCACGCACAAAAATGCTTCTCAAGTGAATCTTGTTGGAGTTTTTGACATTTTTAACGGCCAATAAATGGATCAATTTGAGTATACTTATCAATACGTCTACTAATGATTTTAACCATTAATTAATGGGCGTATATTCTTTTAAATAAGATAAAAATCATTTCAAGATCGAAAAAATTATACTCCCTCCGTCCCTTAAACTCTTTGTCAGTTCTTTTTTTCTTGTCCCACAAATCCCTTCTCTTATCTATTAATAAAGAGTAAATTGCATAAAAGGTCCTCAGTTATAGGTTCTTTTACATATTTAATCCCTACATATCAAATATTACTAATTTAGTCCCCAATTATTATATTCATTTCCACGAATGGTCCTTTGTTAACATTTCTGTTAAGAACGTGGAAAAAATTGTAAATTCACACTCCTTTCTCTCATCAATTAAGCTTCCTCCCTCTTCTCGCACTTCTTTCCCAAACCCGTAGGTGAGTTTGAAGCTTTGAACCCAAAACTGAAATCATCACTCTTCTCTCAATTGTTTGTCTAACTGGTGGAACCCAAATTCGAAACCAGTAACCTTCATGGATGAGTTTTAATGTTTATTTTCTTTGCAATTTCTTGAGACTAACTGATAAAACTTATCCATAAAGCTTATTGGTTTTGATTTTAGGTTCCACTAGGAAGACTAATAATTGAGAGCGAAATGATCATTTCAGTTTTGGGTTTAGAGCTTCAAACTGAGTGACGAGTTTGGGAAAGAGTATGAGAGGAGGGAGGAAGCTTAATTGAGACATGTTCTTAACAAAAACGTTAACAAAGGACCATTCGTGAAAAATGATATAATAATTGGGGACTAAATTAGTAATATTTGATATGTAGGGACTAAATAAGTAAAACGACTAATAACTAGGGACCTTTTATAAAATTTACTCATTAATAAACTACATTTACCACTACTAATTCTTTTTCTTACCTATCACATCATACCTTTTAATTAATAAGCTATCCATCACATCCTACTTTTACCTATCACATCAAGGGCATTTTTGGAAAATCAACACAAAAATATCTTTTTCTTAATTTCTAATAAAGTCAATAAGGAAAATTAAACAACCCATAACATAGGCGTCTTAAGTACATCCAATGTTACAATATTACATTAAAATTTAATGTTAAAAGAACAGTGATGATGTACTTATACTACTAAACAATATACAAAGAGCATGTTGTTTACAACAAGTTCAAATTATGTACTGTATCCAGATCTTAAACCTTAGTTACCAAACTCTAGATTTTAGACACTAGTACCAAACTTCATAAAGTTTTACTCCAAGTCATTTTTATCCCTACTCATTCTTAACCTACGTATCACATCATTTCTATTCACTTTTAATCTATCCATCAAATCTTAGTTTTACTCATCACATCAAAAAATATTTTTGAAAACTCAAAATCAAAATACACTCCTCTTAAAAATCAAAATCTCTCATATTTTCAGAGACGAAGGGGGTATGTTTTGTACTCATCGAAAATGATGTGTTATTGACTTTTCTTCTAGAGTTAAAACGGACAAATTATTACATACATCTAAGATCCATGGTGGACCCTCATATATACTAAATAAGCATTTTCAAGTGTTAAAATAAGAATTTTTAAAAATTTAAAAAAAAAATATGTGACAAGGTCCATATAGACCTTAGGTAGTGCACCATAGAATCACTGGTTAAAACAAGGCTCATCCACTTGATTTAGACAAAATGGTACGTAC